ATATATAGTATTGAGAAACTTTTGTTACTTCAGATGCCTACTTTCCTCCTCCTTTAAGTTACGGAGCCTTTCGTCAATTATAGCTTCTACATCTTCATCTTGAATATCATCGTCCTCGTAGGATTTTGTACGTTTAAGGTTGATACCAAAAGTAGACCATGCACCTTTCTTCTTAATCTTGATGCGCTTACCGCTAGGCAAAATGTCATAGTCATCGATGTTAAGATTATCAGCATCACTGCTCTTAATAACCAGAGCTTCCCCATCCGGGGGAAGCTCTGAGGGATTTGGATTAGTGCCTGCTCTTTTTCTTTGATGTGCTGACATTTGGAGCCCTTCTATCATACTTTCGTCTGTTTCGGAAAATACACCTTTCATATTAAGCTTAGAAAGCAACTTATTAACCAGACTTTTAACTAAACGAAATGTAGTTGATGAATTCCTTGGGAAGTTCCAGCCTTGATTCAATTCAGTCTGAGCCATTTCCTCGAATGATCTCCTCATCTCAATATCTTTTTCGTAGAGTCGAAACAAATCATCATCACTGGGTGCAAACATAAATTTGAAAACTTTCATGAGAATATCAAAAAGTAATGGGATTGCAATAAGGGCGAGTATCATTGACCACCAACTTTGGTCTGTTCCCCACATCTCTAATCCATAGGAAACATAAAATATCGTGCTATCTTTGCTTCTATACAAGAACATTATCAACACATTCCAGCAGCAGTAGCCACCAACAGAAATTATAAAGCTCGCAAAAGCTAGCCATTGCCTATTATGAAGCTCTATTAACTCACATTTTGCATTGATTATAAATACCAAAGCCCCAAAAACCAAAGTTCCGAGAGGGAACGTTGTATTATCTCTCAATGCAGAAAATCCCCAAACATAATAAGTCATGAATGAAATTCCCACACTCTGTAATGCCGCCAAGAACATCCAAATAATAAAAACTTTCAAGTTGAATGCTTTGTATAGCCTTCCTTTAGCATATAATTCTGGCACTGCTAAAAGTGTTGAGGGTTTTAAGTCTTTATCAAACATTCCAACACATATAACCGGCAAGGAAGTAAATAAAGTATTAAACATTGAAAGTGACCAACTCTCATACATAGAAGACCCAGAAAATAGGGTATTTCTTTGATAAATGGCCTGAGTTAAATAAAACAATAATTCCTTGTAGAAGGTGCACAAAACGAACTTCGAAGTTCGAATGTAATTATACCTTCCGTTCACTAAGAGCAACTTTAGTAAAAATCTGAATTGTGCTATTGTATAATCAGCTGATTTGGCTGCTTGTAGACCCTCTTTACCTGTAATTCCAATTCCGATATCAGCACTTTGAATCATAGCAATATCATTAGCCCCATCTCCTATAGCAAGCGTGACAGCTTTTTCTTTCATCTTGCGAACTGAAGTCACCATCGATGCCTTCTGCGAAGGGGACGCACGACAGCAAACAGCAGAATCTGCCTCAACACATAATTCAAGAAAGAGCGAAAATAACGTGGAATCATTTTCGATATCTGCTAAAGTAGCACCATCTACCACGATCACGCAATGGGCAATTCTTCCTGCCTTAATTTCCATACCAGCGGATGTCATTCTTTGCATAAGTTCTTCATAATTTTCATCATTTGATAAGATGATTACAGTGGAGTAATCCTTTATTAATCTACAAGAATAACCAATATTGATGGCTGTTTCTCTTTTGTCACCTGTAAGCATCCACATTTTGATACCAGCCTTTCTCAACTTATCTATCGCCTCACACACTCCTTTTTGAAGTTTATCTTCAATGGCTGTTGCACCAATCATCAGTAAGTCATGCTCGATTTCACCTCCTATTTTTTCAAGCTTCAAATTTCTATCTATTAATGCTGTTTTGGCCTCATTGTATGCTTGGGCCCAATTTTCATACTCATGCTTGTCTAGCCATCTAAATGAATACATGAGCGTTCTGAGACCCTCTGTTGAAAACTCTTCTATATGTTCTAGTGTTTTTTCCATCAAAAACTCCTCATTAACTAGGAGTTTGTCATTAGGAAGTAACTTAGAGAAGTCATTGCCTGAAACATTCCTCAGCGAGCTTTGAGAACACTCTCCATTATCTATGCTATATTTCTTCGCTTGTTGAATATGTAGAGATTTTCGAGCTTTGGTTGCAATATCTGCTATTTCATCTTCTTCTGTATTCATAAGATAGCTATCAATAGAGTCAAGCCTTCTGCCCTCATCACTGAAACTTAAACTTTTTCGGAGCGAGCTAAGTGATCTTCTAGACTCTAATTCATTTGAAACCTTAGACTGCAAGACGATGTCGGCCTCCTGTGTTTTACGATCCGCTGAATTCAATGAAATCTCTTTCGCTTTCCTTTTTGCCATGTCTGAATCTTTCAATCTGTCAATAATTACATTATCAGCACCTTTGCAAATTATACATATTCTTCCGTCTGGAAACTTCACTACAATGGACATTCGCTTTCTAGATGAAGAAAACTCCACAACATCGAGGATCTCGTATTTTTCAAAAAAGGGTTCTTGTTCAAAGCCGCGTGGATACGTTTTTATTGTCAATATGCTATTATTTCTTTCGAAAGCAACAAATCCCAAGTCTCTTGCAGCTGACACAAGTGCCAGTTCATCAGGGGAAGTTGACTGATAAATCACATTATCATCATTGTTTTCATGCTCACTTTCATCATCAAAAGAAACTGTGTCTCTCCTTGGTAGGCAAGTATTACAAAGAGCAATACTCAATAAGAAAAATTTCGCTTTCTTTGCAAATATTGTTTGAGGGTTAATCTGGATGTATTTCAATAAAGATAAGGAATTGATTGAATCTTGTGTCTTTACGTTATTTGCAGGCGAATTCCACGTTACACTAGACTTAACTGATGTGGCTTCGAGACTCTTCCTTGCGAATGCACTGGTACTAGTTCTAGATTTTTTATGCCCGTAACCTTCATCTGACGTTTGGTCTGCCCTATTATTGGTCACCTCACTTTCTTGAGACATCAAGTCTAGCTCGTGTAAGAAACTTGTGCCACATATGCTAAATTTTCTGAAAATCATTAGGTTATCTGTTAAAGTCCCAGTTTTGTCGCTGAATATATAGCTAACCTGACCTAACTCTTCCAAGATTGTTGCAGTTTTGGCATCTGCTGGAGTATTCGTTTCGGGGTCGTACATATCAATATCAAATTGTAAAAAACATAATTGCATGACTTTGATAATTTCCATGGTAACATAGAGTGAAAGCGGAATCAATGTATTATACATAATAATAAAACCCATCAAGGTAGCCGCAACACCTGCATCTTCTCCTAATAAGTACCAAGCTTTATTTTTATTTTTCTTGTAAAGTATCCTCTGTGCCATCGTAGAAAAGGCAGAAAGTAGAATAACAACACACACCATAAACATGACAATATAATTTATATTTTTCTGTAACTTGGGTGCCTTGGTTCGAGGGCTTTTCACATTGTTCATCCTTATCTTTGTTTCTTCACCACTGAATACAACTAGACCCAAAATGGAAGTCGTGTTTCTTAATATACTGCCTCTGTATGCTATGTTATCGGATCCTAAAGCATAAGTGTCCTCATTGAAAATGAATTTTCCATCAAAATTGTATAAGTCGGTGTTAGGGTCTTCGACAACTACCAATGCTTTGGTTTGCTTCAATCCCGGGATAGTGCTAGTTTTCTTAGCCAATTCGTCATGAGGAAACTTTGCTTTCATATTTGTTTCCCCATCTAAAGCCATTGTTTCTACAAAAGCCTCCTGTTTGGAGTCGGCTGTAGCTAGTAAAACAACATCAGCAGGAAAATATTCGTTTTCTCTTACCTTCACTATATCACCAACTTTAATATTTTTCCATTTCGTTGGATATTCTTTTAAGTTATACTTCTTCATCAAATCAGTGTTTGCGTAGGATAAGTTTTCGTTTTCTAAGATCGGGGAAGCTGGATACAAATTCTTGTCTATATTTGAATTTTCGAGCGTCATCGTTTCAGTCATAATTGTAGTAATTGAGTGAGTATCAAAATTTCTTAGCTCGTCATTTTCTCGTAAAATTGTCGTTTTCTTATTATTCTCTTCTTTATCCTGTAGATGTCTCTTCCAATCATCAAATCCCTCTCGAGCCACAGAGATAGAAATGAAAATTAAAAGAGGAATAATAGTTGTGTACTGCCCCGTCGTAGACCAAGTTGGAATCATTTGCAAGATAGCAACAATCATGAAGTAACAGTTCGCAATCTTTGAAAATTGAGCCTTTAGCTGCTTGGGTAAAAATGTATAGATATTGTATTTAGCAGAAGTTATAACATTGTCACGATAAGGTTCACCCGTCCTCTCATCAATTAATGATTTCGCATGCTCATCATAAAGCTCCTCCTGATAATAATCATTTATCTCGGATTGATTGGTGGTTAATGGAATAGCTCTTCCATTCTCTGTAGCAGGTAATGAATCGATACCTAAAATTCTATTCTTAATTTTAATTAATTTCTTTAGTATCTTGTTTTGTTTCTTTCGCTTAGTGATAAACGTAGCACGGCTCTCGGATCGTGAAGAAAGAACACTTAAATGACTAGTCGATTTGCTCATACTCTGATCATATGCGCTATACGGCAGATACTGCTCGTTATCCTGTGTAAACTTATCATCGACATGAATTTTAGGAGTAGAAGCTTCAGTATCTGGTTGCTCAGCCAGCGGTAGATGGGATAGATTATTAAGCTCTATGTCACCCCCTCGAAGTGTCTCGTCCGTGTCTTTGCTACTGCCTGTATTAGAACTGTCTTCCGTTATTCGGCTACCTGGATCGCTATAATTGAATTCCACTTCACGCTCTTGATTCTGCCCTAAGATGGTCTTATTCAAAAGTTGAGATCTTAGAGATAATCCTCTCTTTCGTTTTCCTTTGGAAGTGCCTGGAAGCGCAAGTGACTGATTAGACACCGGATCCATGATACTATGATCGTTTTAATTTGGGCATCTAATGATATAAATATAGTATAATGTTTTGAGAATCATAATATATACTTAATCGGAACCAGAACAGCCGCACAAAATTTTGTGGTGAGCATAGCCTATGATTAACACTAATGATCTTTTTCATGCAAACAAAATCAATGAAATTATCGTTCCAGGAAGAGGAAGGCCTGACTATGCTGGAATATGGAAGATACTTTTTGAGTATTAAGTCAGTGAAGTTTTCTCAGATCATATAAAACTAGTAGCCTACATAATCGTTTTTTTTGTTTAAAGTCAGTCTTATCGATATCGACACAGGGTGAAGTCAAAAGATCGAAGCCTAGGCTCAGGAGTTCAATTTTTGAACTTAGGATGTATATTAAATCAGTCATCTTTCTTTCTTTTTTCATAGTTCTTTTTATTGTTGAGAGATCTCTATATAATTCCATTACAGTTGTGGCACGCTTGCAATTTAGAATTAAACTTTAGCAACTTGGTGCCAGCTGGGGAAATAGGCAGCTTGATATACTTTTGGGTAGATGATTTGTAAATGTGTCCCAATTTTTAACTAGCATTGGCATTCAGTTGAGGTGAAATCCCAATTTAACTAACAGTAAAATTAGAGTCCTAGCTTTTCTCTTACCACTTCAAAGCAATAATCTTGGTAATTTTCAACGAATTTCTCATTATTTAGTTCAATTTCACCACATGATTGTGATATCACGTCTTCATTTCCAGCAATTAAAACCATTCCTCGCTGCATTGTATTCAAGTCAACAAATTGTTCAATAACATTTCCATTTAAAATCATCTCCGATACATTATTAGCAGCATGCTTGCCCATATACATCGCCCAGCCAGCACTTTTTATAATAGGTTGCTCCACTAAATCACCAATTGCAAAGAAATTGGTAAGAGTTTTGCCATTGTGAGATACTTGGGAGTACTCATTTACGAATATATTGTTGTTCTCAGAAACAAAGTATTTCATATTTTCAGTAAGAATCTGAGTATTATTCTTGTATGAATTACACCAAAAGTTAAGAGAAGAGTGTATGACATCACCCTTGGTAGTTTCAAGGTCATTATTTTCGAGCTCTTTAGAAATTCTTGTATTCAAGTGTACATCTACTTTTGCTCTTTTTAGCGATTCCAAAACAGTTTCCTTAAACTTTTCTGACAAAGGTTCTTTTGGCAAATTGCCGTGAGGATGGATAAGGTTTACCGTCTTATGCGGAAAATGCGACTTAATTTCTCCTGCAAGTTCAACCCCTACAGCACCTCCACCAATGATGGACAATGCTTCAGCCTTTTCGATTTCATCCTTTACGGCAATCATCTCTGAAACATACAAATTTGCATCAAAGGCACTAGGTGATATTGGCCAGTGTCTGTTTCTGCCAGCACCATAAATCACATAATCGAATTTTATATCACACTCAACAGGAATATTATTCAACTTGTATTTCGCTTCATTTGGGCCGAGTTGAGAAACATGTCCATGAACATAGTTAATATCAACCACAGGCTCATTTGTAGGTTCGCTATCGTTAAAGCTCTCTAAGACTTTCTCATCGCTTGATAATACACTTTTGAACTTTAAACCGCGGAGTTGCGCAAATGGAACGAACTGAGTCTTTGCAAATACAGGGTCAACTATTGCTCTAGGAATTCCAAGAATATTTAAAAGACCACCCTTTGGCTCAATTATAGTTAGTGAGATTTTGTTTCCTTCTACCGTGCCACCATGTTTTGAGTTCTCAATTTTTTCACCAAAGAATTGAACTAGGTTTTTCAAAGCAGAGAGCCCAGCATAAGCTCCTCCAACAATTAATATATTTGTTGTGAAAGATAGAGGACTCTTTGATTGTTTAGCCAATTGAGTTGGACGCGAAAGACGTGTTGCATTCATTTTCATTCAATTTAAGGATAAGCCGAAACAAAAGATTGACAATCTTGCGTTACTTTCGGATATATATATATATATAAACGGAAAAGATCTAGGACAAACGGTTGCAACCATGTACAGAATTATCTAAAGGATCATTTTCTTGGAAGTTAACCGGACCGCACCGGAAATAGAAAGCTTTACGAACAATAAAATTCAGATACGATATATTGAACGGCGACAGAGCGCCGTACTCGGAATCCAAGAGTTTTCATGAAAGTAACTAAAGTCATAGTTCTAACGGCCAATAAGATTCTAAAGATACGTTTTCTTACCACCGCAACTCGGTGTGCAGCCATCAGCCGCGCAACAATACCTTCTCCAGTTCACTTAATTCATATTCAAGGTCGGCAATTATACTTTTCAATCTCTTTGCTCCAGCATTTGTTTCTAGCCATGATTCAAATCTTTGTCTCTGCAATTTTAATTGATCAATTATAGGTGCTTGAGAAGTATAAGAAGAGTCAGAGTATGGGTTGAGAAGGAGATTGAATAAATCGTTCCATAGGTCCAGTTGCCAATATCTTTTGAAACTTGCCTTAAGCTTTGTAGTGCCATCCTCTAATTCACATATTTCTATGTATCGACCAAAGAGCATAGTATGAATTACGCTTGCAAGACCGTAATAATCAGCTTCGTATTTCCAAGGTTCATTTTTATTCATTTGGGGGCAATCCTGCTCGTCAGTCTCCCAGTCGCTGATAAACTTGACGTTGTCTTCGAAAAGGGTAACATCTATCGCTCTTCCAAAGTCTATCAAAGTAATTCCCTTGGCTGACCAATTGAAGTCTCCTAGACGTGAATAGTTTTCGCTCCATTGAGATTTTATCGACTCAAATCTCAACATACAATTATCAGCCTTAAGATCACCATGAATAATACCAATGCCATGTAGGCCCTCCACCGCTTTGCAAAGCTCCACAGTTAAAAAAACACATAGTACTTCGTCCACATTGGATCCTTTATTAGAATAATGATTGACTATGTCTAATATTGTCCCTTGATTACAATAGTCGATGATCATGTAGCTCTCATCAGAAAAGTAATATAGTGCTTCTGGCTTAACGAACATCAGAGAGAGCTCACCTTGTAGCCTGCGGTGAATCTGTTTTAGGATATAAAATTCCCATTTAGAGGAAGGTGATTCAATTTTTAAAGCCTTCAAAGATCCAGTTTCTGTCTCTATCAATACCACAACTCCAAATCCACCTCTGCCTAACTCATAGCGAAGACAAAAACTCTCATCTCCCAAATAGTTAATTATTGAACCAGGCTTCCCCTTTGCTATGATTCTTGTGTGTTTGTTCGTTAATTCATTTATACCATCCAACTTATTGATATTAATATTTCCAAAGTCAAGATAACCAACATACGCCTCGATTGGAATTGATAAATTGGATAGAAGATTTTGTCTTAAAATAGGATCCAAAGGATTGAATAACTTTTGCTCAAGTTCCCTTGGTTGTGGCTCTTCTACGAACGGCGAGCTGAAGTAACCTTGAGCAGCAGTTTCATTAGGAGATGATATCTGTGGGGATTTGTTGGCGTTTTCAGAAACGTGTCCATCATTTATGGGATAGATAGTCTCTGTAACAAATCCATCGTAATTTCCAGTGTGTTCTGTATCTGTCTTTTCCTCTTCGTCATCAGTTGTAAGGCCCTGAGCCGCATTATTGAACATTCCAATTACTTCATTCGCCGACATTTTCGACACCATTGTGACTGTTGGTGAATTGGGTACCTGCCTGTCACCATGAAAAGTCTCATCATCATTGTCATCCTTGAGTGGTATTGTTAGCGTATGATTTTTTTCTATATAGCTTTCGTGTTCGTTAGAATTTGACTCTGTCATGTTGACATCCTTGTTTTTGAAATTGAGCGCCGAAACTTGCCTAGTTAAGCCCAAAATCTCGTCCAATGAATACTCATCATCATTATTAGGGTAAATGAGCTCCATATTAATGAGAACTTTCTCACGAGTCTTTCCCGGTTGCGATATAACAGTAGCTACGCTGCCATTAGAATCCTCTACAAAGTCCTTTGATTTAACGTCACGCTTATCAATCTCTTGTCCATCTTTGTACACGGCGATCTTAAGCTTCTTTTCTATAACTCCCTTTTGTCTTATTTGTTCTCCAATCCAGGGCCGCGCCGAGATCACATTCTCTTTGATCCTTGACCTTATAGTACCCAATTCATTACTATCAGTTGATGATTCGTTAAATATTGACTGTAAAATTCCTACCTCATTTGAATCGTCATTGAAAATTTGCATTTTTGATTTCTTTCTAGGATTGCTAATATGGCTATCTTCGGCGGTCGGGAAGATAGCATCTCCTCTTTTTAATGCAAGGCCAGCTCTTTGTGCTTCAGAGGCTGAGGTCAGACCAGTGGCTTGCCTTTCCAAAAAATTTCTATAATTCCTTTCTAGTCTTAGAAGTGGCCGTGCTTCTGATTGTATTCCTAATTCGTAGATCTGTTTAGCATCCTCCATTTTTCCACTTAACTCTAAATACCTACTGAATTCTTCGTAATATAATGCTAATTCGTTTCCTATCTGCTTCTTTGCCAAGTACACAAATATGTCTCTTGGAGCATCAGAGTAATTTGTGTATTCTAACCATACCTTCAAATATCTAGGATCGTTTTTATAGTAGGAGACGTCCCTGAAACACGAAGTGCACCTTTCTAAAATTGTTAATAATCCACTCTGAGAGCTTGACCCCTGAGGGAAGTTATCATGAGTCCAATTTATATAGTCCAAAAAAACCTGAAGAGGATCATCTAGTTCTGCAATAATTTTGAGCTGATTTTCGTAGGCATCTCTTTCCCTTGTCTGGTCTTGTTTGTAATGTGTCATAGAATTAGTTGCGTTTTTAAAGTTCTCGGCTAGCTTTGAGACTGATCGTCCATCATTTAAGGGCTGAATGTTTTCTTTTTGCTGTTCAACAATGGTCAGGTCAGTAAATGGGATTGCCATATTCTTTTCTGTTCACTCTTTTTAGGTTTGTCTTCATGTTAATATAAAATGTAAACAAATCACTTGAGCGTGTCGCATCAACTAAATGTCTGCGAGCAAAAAATATTAATGTAGGAATGATTTACTAGAGATAGCTTCAGAAGACTCGAAGGAGGGACCATGAGGTTGCGAACATTATTCTTATTTTATTCATTCCTTGGGCTTTTGAATGTGGTATTTGCTTCAAAGTATTACAATGAATCGTTGACGTTAAGACCGCTACCAAGAAACAAGCTTCTAGCCTCGTTTGACTTCAGCATAAAATCACTACCTATACCGTTAGAATTCGAGGGCAAAACATCATATTCAGCATCATCACAAAATAAAAGACATTTTTCTTATTTTCCTATGGCATTGGGTCCAATAATAGAATCTACAAATACTAGAGAATTACATTTGAGGTTTGCTCAAGGTTGGTGGGATCCTACTTCGTGGGGAAAATTGATAACAAATGGCCATAAATGTGGAGGAACAGGTGTCGAGATCTCGAGCGTGATAGAAGCAGATAGCCCTGAAGAAGCAAAGAAGAGCTGGATGAAGTTATGCCAGTCGCTATCTGGATTTTTTTGTGCTTCTTTTGATTCAATCGACGATTCTATCACAACAGTGCCTCGCTATGCAGCCAAAAATGTAAATGACTTCGTAATGAACCCTCAGAATAATTTGTATTTATTCAGAGCTGCTTTACCGAGTGAACCTATTTGTACGGAAAACTTGACACCATTTTTAAAGCTATTGCCAACGAGGGGAAAGGCTGGAATTTCTTCACTTTTGGATGGTCATAAATTGTTTGATGGTTTATGGCATGGTATGTCTATTGACTTGGAGACAGACTGTAGCTCAGGTGAATGTCGCTTTGAGTTGACTCAAAGCATTAACACCGTTCTAGACGTAATGAGATCTCTCCGCAAGAATACAGAGGGTGCTATTCCAAAGCCGACTCCTGGAAATAAGCTTCTTTGCGATACGTCTAAGAAATACGACCTGTGGCAATGTTTCCCTCTCGGTGATCCTAGAGAGTTAGAGTGGGACTTAGGAGCAATTTTTGGCCGTAAAATTAAAGGATCTGCATTTGATGAGAGCTCGACTTCTTCTGTCATAAATGTCGACGTGGACTCTAAATTTTGGGACGTAACAGTCTTAAAAGGATCTGATCACGCGGAAACCCTTACAAGCTACAAAAAATATTTCACGTCTTACGATTTGAGAGAACCTGAAGAGTACAATGTCAATTTTAAAACCAAAAATAGTAGCATGGTTACTCCAGTAAAAGAGCCACCAATAACAGTGTCTCGCTCTCTCACAGGTTACTCACAGGATCAAGGTGGTATCAGAGTTGTCTTTTTTAATCCTTCGACTACTGAGTCCATCTCTTTCATATATTTTGAATCCCTCCCTTGGTTCATGAGATTGTACTTGAACACCATGAAAGTGAGGGCCAGCATTGGTACAAAAGATTACCATCCTGTCGATGAAAGTACTTTTATAAAAGATAGATTCTATGAACCTTCAATCGACCGAATGAGACCATCTCACATTGAGCTCAATATTACCCTTCCACCAATGACGAATTTACTTTTAACATATGATTTCGATAAATCATTATTGCTATATGCTGAATACCCTCCAGATGCCAATCATGGCTTCGCAATAGAACCGGCAATTGTTTCAGTTTTCAATAAGACGGGCGAGAGTACATATGAATTTAGAACTACAAGTCTCTTATTGAGTCTTCCAACTCCAGATTTTTCGATGCCCTACAATGTTATTATTTTGACTTGTACCGTGATGTCTCTAGCTTTTGGTTCTATTTTCAATTTATTAACTAAAAAAGTTGTAACAGAGGACGAACTTGAAACTTTATCGAAAGGAAGTACTTTTGGTAAAAGATTAAGATCTAAGATACTAGGAGCGAAATCAAAAATTACAGGTACGATAAGGAAAATGGTCTAGAGTTTAACTATATTCAGCTCAACTCAATAGATGCATACAAATGACTAAATATGGAAATCCTATGTGTTATAATATTCATTACAGTACTCCATGATCAAAATGGATCTTCATAAGGGTCTTCTTCATCGTAATCATCATCCTTCTCATATTGATATACAATTGCACCACCATATGATCCCAATTCCTCTTGGGCTTGCATAAAAGGTAATTCAATTTGTTCTTTAGCTAATTTCTGTTTGTTATTCGTATTAAGGTTGAACGTTGTGAGACCCTTGAACAAAGCCTCATCTTCAACGTCGTCCTGGGTTTCTTTATAAATTTCATGAGTGTGAGTAGCTGTATTCAAAATGTAGTTGTATGTTGAAGAACGACCAGACTTTCTTTTCTTCGTCAAGCTTAGCTTAAAGGAATTTTGATTCAATAATGAGGTTGCAGGAAATTGTAGCTTCGTTCCAATGTTTTCCACAGTTTCCTCCTCTATCTTTCCGCCCAATATAGGTTCCATTTCAAAATAAGCTGTTGCAAAATAGAGCAACAAATTTATGGCCAGAGGATAATTTGTAAGTGGGTCTCTTGCTTGTGGACAGTTGGTGTGGAAGACGCCCAATAGAGTTATATTGGGATGACTTATGTTGGATATGAATGATGGCAACAAGTCACAAGGAATATAATTTAAAGAGTCTACCAACACTATTATCTTATTACTTGTTTCTTTCTTCTTTATCAGATCATGAACAAAAAGCTTTATATCACTAATTGATTTATCTGAGCACTCTAGATAACTAGTAGCATATGCCGGCCTGTTAACTGTTTCATAAGACAAGTATATGATTCTGTCATTGCATCGATGAGCAACCTCTTGAAGTAGATAGTAAGAAGATTGTATTAGTGAATCTAATATAAGACAGAAGGGTATATCATCTTTGAAAGAAAGTACTCTATCGAGGATAACACTACCATTTTGTCTCGACATTGTCTAAGCTGTCAGGCAAGCTCTAGAGCTGATATTTGGTAACTTTCTCTCATCTCTCTCTGATGAGAAAATTGTGTGCAGAACTATATTCCAAATTAAATGGCAACAAAATGAAGCAGGTCAAGTTGCTCTTGTACTTGTTAAAACTCTTTCGATGAACCAGCAATGACTACTGAAAGGCAAAAGAAGAGAAAGATTTTAGGGGAATATGTTATACCCGATTCCTTGAAAGAGGAACTTAATAAGGAATATGCAACGCTTGATTCAATGTCCGAAGATACATCAATTCGTGGACTCAATAAGAATGACTATCAACAGAGGAAGTATAATAGAGTAGTAGATCTTGATCTTGACAATATAAAGTCTTACAAAGAGATAATGTATGAAAGAGAATTCGAAAGAGAAGAGGTTCGAGTAAATAAACTAATACAACAGAAAGAGGAAGATGATGGTGATAAAGGGCAAAAGAAGATTAATGGAAATGATAGACCAAGGAAACGTAAGAAAAGATGGGATGTAGGACCACAAGAGTATGAAGTATTAAATTCAAAAGAAAATATTGAGGAGAGAGATATACTGATTCGAAATGTGCCTATAATTAATGGAATTCCCTTAACTGATGCAGTTTTGAAAAAGTTACTCCCTCCTGGCTACAGGATTTTAGATCCTCCTCAAGGTTACATCCCCAATGATATAAAACAGGCGCCGGACATTACTCAAATTCCTGGAGATTTCTATCTTCCACCGGCATCAAATGGCATTCTAGATCAAAAATCGATGGTGAAACAGCTAGCCCCAGAAATACCTATAACAGGAATTCAGTATTTTAAAGAAGAAGATGCGAAATACTTTGGTCAGCTCATTAATCCAAATAAGTCTGATAACAAGTCTGCTGAAGAGAAAATGGAGATAAAGGCCTTGGGGCTTCTACTTAGAATAAAAAATGGATCTCAATCTGCTCGAAAAAAGGCGATGCGTCAACTAACAGACAATGCAAAAAAATTTGGACCAAAAGTGTTATTGAATAAAATATTACCAATATTGATAGAACCAAATTTGGATGACCAGGAAAGACATTTATTAGTCAAGTTGATTGGAAGACTATTATTTCAACTCGATGATCTAATCAGGCCTTACACGCATAAGATTTTGTTTGTTATTTCTCCCCTTTTGATAGATGAAGATTTCTCGATAAGATTGGAAGCAAGAGATATTGTTTCGAGCTTATCAAAGGCTGCTGGCTTGGCTGATATGATTTCAAGTTTGAGACCAGATATTGATCATGTGGATGAATATGTCAGAAACATAACTTCTCGAGTCTTTGCAATAGTTGCAAATACATTAGGGTTAGTCAACTTTCTTCCATTTTTGAAGGCAGTCATCAAGTCAAAGAAGAATTGGATGGCAAGACACACTGGTATCAAAATTGTACAACAACTTTGTGTGCTCTTAGGAAGAGGAAATGGGAATTCAATACTCCCATTTTTGACACAAATTGTTGAAGTTATGAAGCCTGGATTGACTGATGAAATGTTACAAGTGCGTACAATGACTGCTTTAACTATTTCTCAATTAGCTGACAATGTAAAGCCATACGGAATTGAATCATTTGAGCCGATATTAGAACCTGCCTGGCTAGGTTTGAAAAGACATAGGGGAAAGGGATTAGCAAGCTTCCTTAAATGCATTGGTTCGGTGATCAACTTGATGACCTATGATCCTAATTATGAAGAATATTCAAGTTATTATACAAACGAAATAATGCTAGTTATAAGAAGAGAGTTCAATTCACCAGATGATGATATGAAGAAGACGATTTTAAGGGTTATTCTGGACTTACCATTGTCGAGACAGCTTTTCAGGAATTATCAAAATGACATTATTAAACCATTCCTCAAAAGCTTTTGGAATAGAAGAGTTGCATCAGACTCACAGCAGCTCGCTAAAAATGTGGTTGAGTGCACGTCAACTCTAGCTGTTAAGCTAGATTATTTTACAATTTTAGACAATGTCATTACTTTCACTAAGGATGAAAATGAATCTTTAAGACGAATGGCGATTGAGACGATAAATAAAATGATAACAACCGGCTCCGAAAATCTCATAGGTCTAGATTCCCAAACTGAGACTAAGTTAATTGACGGAGTCTTATTTGCATTTCAAGAACAGACAATACAGCATAAGATATATCTACAAACTTTTGGAACTGTCTCGAACTCTCTTGGAGTCAAACTAAAGCCGCATCTTAATTCCATTATAAGTACCATACTTTACCGATTAAAGAACAAACTTCCAGAAGTGAGACAACAGTCATCAGATCTCATTAGTATAATAGCTCCCACCGTCAGAAAGTGCTCCGAAGATAACGATACAGTTTTGACTACTTTAATTTTAGTATTATATGAGCTGTTAGGTGAAGTGTATCCTGATGTTTTGGGTTCTATTATTAATGCTTTATTCTCTTGTATCAACAGTGTTGATCCTGTCACGTTATATACGATGTCAAATCCATCTGTTAATCAATTATTACCCACCTTAACTCCAATTTTAAAGAATAGACATGACAAAGTCCAAGAGGCATGCATTAAACTTGTCGGATTGATAGCACAAAAAAATTCTGAAACTATCAACGCAAAAGAGTGGATGCGTATCTGCTTTGAGCTTTTAGATATGTTGAAGTCACCTAAGAAAAGGATCAGGATCGCAACGAATGATACTTTTGGATTCATTGCAAAAACGATTGGTCCCCAAGACGTACTTGTAATGCTCTTGAATAACTTGCGAGTTCAAGAAAGACAGTTAAGAGTATGTACAGCAGTTGCGATTGGAATTGTTGCAGAGACTTGTGCACCCTTCACGGTTTTGCCTGCTTTAATGAATGAGTACAGGATTCCAGAGAAGAATGTTCAAAATGGTGTTTTGAAAGCCCTTAGTTTCTTATTTGAGTATATCGACGGAACTATGACCAAAGATTACCTATTTGCCGTCACTCCTTTAATTGAAGATGCCTTAACAGACAGAGATCAGGTTCACAGGCAAACAGCGGCTACCGTTATTAGGCATATGGCAATCAATTGTGTGGGCTTGACGAACGACGATTACTATGACGTATTTGTTCACTTTTTAAACTTGTTGTTGCCCAATATTTATGAGACCTCTCCTCATGTGATCAGTAGAATTTTGGAGAGTATAGAGGCACTTAGGGTTGTTCTAGGAATTGGAAGTTTTTCAAACTACATTTGGAGTGGATTATTTCATCCTGCAAGAAAAGTACGCAGTCCTTATTGGAAGATGTTCAATTCTGCGTACGTTCAGAGCAGCGACTCTATTGTACCCTATTATCCCAGGATAGATTACTTAGCCGACAGTCCAAATGAAGACTACAGGATTGAAGAACTAGATATCTATCTTTAGTAACTTTTCTTTTTCTTTATTTAGGAATCTAAAAGAAGTTATAGTATAGACTAATTTTTGGCTCCAAACTAAAATGTTGCTTGTATTATATAGTCAGCATCTCTGTTTGTATGATAATGACCAAGAGAGGTATCTACATGTGGCATCACATCATCATTAAAATCAATGAGGTTACCATCGCTATCATAATACTCATCCTCGTAATCGTCGTCTAGACGGGCCACTGGTTCGTCTTCGTTATCGTATAACATGGTTGCATAGCGAGTAACTTTTCTAGCTTGAAACTCAAGCATTGCCTCGAGTTCTCCGAGGTCTATGTTATCCTCTGAACAGCTATTGGAGCTTGAATAACTCGTAACCGCCGGAAAACAATCCACTGTGATATCATTTTCGCTATTTAAATGAAATGGAATATTCTGTATCCACTTGTTGACTTTTTCTTTCGAGGGCATATTGGCGGCATTCCTAGGATTGAAAGAAGTGGGAATTTCTTGAACCATCATGGCTGGATTTTCATTAAGAAAGAAGATACCGTTCTGGGATGGGGTTGTTGAACCTTTTTTAGTGGGCGTCTCCATTACTCTACCAACACAAATATATCCCTCGGGAGCTTGATGAGTTGGAAGAATAATATGCCCTGGCATAAGAGATTGATGCTTATCTTTGTATTTATTTTGAAGGTCTTGCTGTTTCATGTTGTGGGGACTGTAGTCCTTTGTCTCAGAATTGAACATAAAGTAATTCTTCAGTGGGAAGTATGGTGAGATTTTATTCAGAAAATTATCCACTAATCCTGAGTCGGCTCGTAAGTTGGTTCCCTTCATAAATTTCCCAGTATCAGATTTATTCTCCATTGTGTATGGCTCATAAAAGTGTTATTACTTCCAATTCTAATGCCTATTCCATAGCCTAAAGATTATCGAATTTGTGGTTAGATCTAGCTGCAATTTTTAGTCGCAAAAAGGGTCTTGCACTCATCATATAATTACATAATCGCAATATCGAAATTCAAACAGTGTGCCAAAGGCTTAAAGCAAGAGCATTCAGTGGCATGGGTGTGAACTCATTATGGGATATAATAGGACCAACAGCAAAGCCTGTGAGACTTGAAGCTTTATCTAGGAAGAGATTAGCGGTTGATGCGTCGATATGGATCTATCAATTTTTAAAAGCGGTCAGAGATAGTGAGGGCAACTCGCTACCTCAGTCTCACATTGTGGGATTCTTTCGAAGGATCTGTAAACTATTGTATCATGGTATTTATCCGGTATTTGTGTTTGATGGAGGTGCACCGTCCTTGAAAAGAGAGACAATAAATCAGCGAAGGGAGAGAAGACAAGGAAAACGGGAAAGCGCAGCTGAAACAGCCCAGAAGTTATTAGCTATTCAAGTGCAAAGGGAAGCAGAAAAGACTATGGGTAGAAAAGATAATAACGAAACTGTTTATTTAGAGGATTTGACTAATTTGCATCCGTCTCACGTTGAAACAAATAGAGAAAGCCTAAATGACGAACAGAGCCTATTTAGAAAGAAAGACGAATACCACCTACCTGATATTAACTCATTCAAGGTTTCCTCCAACGATTCAAGAATTATGCCAGAAAATTCATTTGATGACTTTGTGGATGATCTTGGTTATGTAGATGGAATTGACATTGATTCTGTGGATCCCGCATCCCCTGAATTTTCTCGATTACCGTTATCATCTCAGTACATGATATTGTCTCAGCTAAGATTAAGATCTCGATTAAGAATGGGGTTTTCCAAAGACCAATTGGAAATGTTATTCCCTAATAGCATGGACTTCTCGAAATTTCAGATTCAGCAAGTGCAAAAAAGAAACTTCTATACTCAAAGACTAATGGATGTCAGTGGCATGGGTAGTGACGGTAATACTACAAAGAGAATAGCAGGGGACAAAGATAAAAAGTATGCATTAATTAGAAGTGAGAATGGGTGGTCTTTATCGTTGGGCTCCGAAAGCTCCACTATGGAAGATCCAATATTGCTAGATGAAAATGGTGAAATGATCGCACGTCATCGAGAAGAAAAGAATACAAAAACTTATGTCGATTGGAAGGATGATAAAGAAGGTGATAGTGATGTCGAATTCGACGATGTGCCTTTGGAAAATAGTGGAGACGATGAAATACAAAAAGAATTGATACAATCGATATATAATCAATATCGAGAGGAAGAGCCAATCAATGCTGAAGAAGAAGAACGAAATGATTTAAAAAAAGCTATTGAAGACTCTAAAAGAGAGTATTTCGATTTACAGCTAAAGGAAGAGGAGCTAGCAAAGGAAAAATCTCTCAACTGGAACTTTGGTCCCAAGAATCAAAAAACTAACAAGGCGGAACAAGACCAAGGGGCTAAAGAAACGAGTAACGTCTCCTCAGACAATAATAAATCAACTAACACCAGTGATAAAATTTCCAATATTGGAAATACCAATGACTTTTTAAATACTAATTTTGGAAAATCTTTTCTTTTGCAAGAAGAGAATCCTGATGATATGTCAGAAATAAAGCAGAACGAAAATAATAAACTGCAGGAAGATGCCGATATCTCCAAACGAGAAAGCGGAAGAGTGGAAAGTGATATAATTGAGATAGAGCAATTGGCTGATGACGATAAAGACGCAGAAAAAAAGAAAGATGCTCATAATGTCTTACCCTCATGGTTCAACCAAGGTTTTTCCTCCTCAGAAAATCCGCATGAAGATACCTTCCTTCCTGAGTCAAAGAAACATGTATCAAGTAAGTATCAAAAGGATGAAGATGCTGGGATTGTGTCTTGGAGCGAGGCAAGAGAGTTGCTCAATTCGGAAGATGAACTCAATAGCGATAAATCGGACGAGGTGCAAGAGATCGCACCCTTTAAAAAGCAGGCATCTTTCTCTGCAAAAGCTGAAGAAGAGAAAGTAGATAAGAACGATAATGAAAAAAACGGGCAAAGGAAACCTGCTGTTCTTGAATATGATTTTGAAGAAGAAGACGAGAATAACTTAGTACGACAGTTAAACGATGAAGAAGCTGAGCATGAAAATTTCAGATCTGATATGAAGAAAAATTATGATAAATCAATATCTTCTATCAATACAAGCATTACAGAAGAACATTTGCTACAAGAGAAACTTCAAAAGGCCAAAAGGGACTCTGACGAGGTAACTGAAACAATGATAAGAGACGTCCAAGAACTTCTCAAAAGATTTGGGATACCTTACATCACTGCTCCTATGGAAGCGGAAGCTCAATGTGCGGAACTCTTGCGGCTCAAGTTAGTAGATGGGATAATTACTGATGATAGTGACTGTTTTTTGTTCGGTGGAGATAATGTGTACAAGAATATGTTTAATCAGAAGCAGTATGTTGAGTTTTATACTTTGAGAGATATTGAAGCCAAAATTGGACTAACTCAAGACAAGCTTATTGAATTAGCTTTCCTTCTTGGGAGTGACTACACAGAAGGAATAAAAGGTATTGGTCCCGTCCTTGCAATGGAAATTATTGCAGAATTTGGAAGTCTAAAAAAATTTAAGTTATGGTTTGATCAGAATACGAAGTCTCGAAGAAGCTCTGAGAAGCAAGAATCTTCTTTGAAGAAGAATTTGTTGACGCGTGTTAAAAATGGAAAGCTTTTCTTACCTGGTGCCTTTCCAGATAAAGTGGTGTTTGATGCTTATAAAAGACCAGAAGTCGATCATGACAAAACTCAATTCAAGTGGGGGTATCCTAGTTTAGACCAAATAAGGTCTTTTCTCATGTACAATCTAAGGTGGTCACAGTCAAAAGTTGATGAAGTAATGATACCTTTGATTAGAGACATAAATCGTAAGAAAACTGAAGGCACACAGTCAACAATTAGCGAATTTTTCCCTCAAGAGTATATCCAAACTAAGAAAGATATTGGAATTGGAAAAAGACTCAAATCTGCTACTAATAAGCTTCATAAAAGAAGAAACACCAACAATACAACGTAAATATTTGATTCAAATTTAGTTTACTAATTTATATACATACTTCTCTATTAGGCAATTGAGGAAATCATTTTGATGTGAACTTTATTTTTATAGTGCCAATTAATCTAACTTATACAAGGTAAGGACGCAGCAATGGCAGATTCACTTGCAAAGTTGTCTTCTATGCTCGAGTCTGCTAAGGACTTGACAATAGAAGCTGCTGTTTCGGCCTCATCAAGATTGACGGATACTCCTAGTGCTCTGAGGCCCCAAGAGATATCTAAATTGTTGAGTTCTAGGTCAGACAGAGATGTATTGAATGGCATGAGATGCGTAATATCATTAGTAGCGAGAGGAGAAGATGCTGTCCCTTATTTCACAGATGTTGTGAAAAATATTACGTCTACAGATCTGAAAGTAAAAAATTTAGTTTCAATCTATTTAACAAGATTTGCTGAGATAGAACCTGACACTGCTCTTTTATCTATAAATTCAATTCAAAGGTCGCTTAATGAAAAGGTTCCATTGAAGCGAGCCAATTCTATCAAGACATTAGCTGGAATTCGAATTTCATCTATTCTACCAATCGTTTCACTTTGCATCAAACGGACAATTGGGGATCCTTCTCCTCTAGTGAGAGGATCTACTGCAATCGCAATAGCTAAGGTATTTGACGTAGCAACCTCCGAGAAAAAACAGCTTTTCAGTTATCTCGAACTTTTGTTAACTGATAGTGATGTTTTTGTTGTCAGTTCTGCTATCAAGGCATACTATAAGATAAGGAATAACATTTCGTCAAAAACACAGAGATGGCGCCCAATACATGGAAACTTTCGTCGATTTTGTACATTATTGGAGTCAATGGACGAATGGGCACAGGTTTTCACGATAGAGATCTTGACAGACTATTCAAGAACGTTTTTGCCACGAGCCAAAGTGAAAGCGAAAGATGAGAGCGGCCAAATGATAGATATTCCAGATTCATATTCTCATTATCACTTCCATGAATATGAAACTGTAATGGATGAAGATCTCAAACTTTTCGTTGACTCATTAGAGCTAATGGCCTACTCTGATTCTGACGCTGTTTTAATCGGTACATCTCGAGCCATTCATTCGCTCATGCCTCCATTGATTTTTGAAAAGTTCCTGATGCCTAATGCTTTGCTCAGGATTGCAGTCTCAGCCACTAGTAATCAGAATTCGCTTCTCGCTTTACAAGTAATCTTATCGATTTCGTCTGAGAACCCTACAATTTTTGGTCCTTATTATAGAAATTTTTTCGTTTATCCTTCCGATTCATTTCAAGTTGCAGAAACTAAGCTAGGAATTTTATCATCTTTAGCTGATATCAACACTATTCTGTTCATCTTCGAAGAATTAAAGTTTTATTCTTTGAATGGTCTAGAAGATGAGAAAATTGCGATTATATCTATAAAAGCCATTGGGCACTGTTCACAGATATCACCAGAATGGAATAAAAAAATTTTGAGGTGGTGCCTAAAACATGTTACAATATTAAGAGGGAGCTTGTTAAGTGAATTATTAACGGTCATCAGATACTTAATACAAGAAAAGAGGAACTTTATTGGAGACAGTGTAGGGGCAGAGCATGATATAATCAGAACCATATTTAAAATGTCTCTTGTATTACAAGATGAAAGCTTTGTTTTAGAAGAAAATGCGAAAGCTAGCATAATCTGGATGATAGGAGAATTCACCAGTTCAGTTGACAATACTATTGGCCCTGATGTCTTAAGGCAGCTCATAAATGGATTTTCAGAGGAATCAGATGATGTGAGATACCAAATCTTGATCCTTGCGGCTAAGTGTATATCCTACGAACTAGATAAAATGAAAGCTTTTGATGAAGGATATGAACAGAGGAACTTTGAAGAAAATAGGATTTTCAAAATGTTTCAACATGTTCTACATCTATCTAAATATGATAGAAGCTATGACACAAGAGATAGGGCCAGAATGTTGAATACCCTTTTTTGCACAGGAAAGGAGCAATACCAGCTCGCATCTCTTTTTTTGCAAGTCCCCAAGCCAGTACCTTCTCTTTCCATTAATCAAATTTTTTCAGGAGGGTATCCTAACCAAATTATTCTTGAATATCTCATTTCAGTGGAAAGAGGTGAACCTAATAGTCTCCCTCCCTCTAGTATAAGGAAAGAGGCTCCTGTGAAGCAAAATAATTTAAGCACTCATGGTTTATCATTCTTATCTTCCTCTGGGAGCACACCATCTCCACCTACAGGGCCATCGCAACACAGCGTTTCTTCTCAGCAATTTAATAGTAATATTGGTGGCAATGTAGTACCGAAAAAAAGTTATAAATTGCAAAGTTTGGATGAATTTTTTGGTACGAAAGAATCTTCGGATGAGGAAGATGAGGAAGATGAGGAAGATGAAGAAGACGATGAAGAAGAAGAAGAAGAAGAAGAAGAAGAAGAAGAAGAAGAAGAAGACGATGAAGACGATGAAGACGATGAAGACGATGAAGACGATGAAGAAGAAGAAGAAGAAGAAGACGACGACGACGACGAAGACGAAGGAGAAGTAGAAGACTATGAAGAAGAAGAAGAAGAAGAAGAAGAGGAAGATGATGGGTATCCATATTTGGAAGGAGATATAAAAGGTGACGATAATGTAGATGTTGATGAAGAGAAAGGTGAAGAAGGGTCTGAGGTGGTGTAAGGGCGAGCAAAGAATATTAAATATATCGATAATGGCCTAGCCTTGCTCAAAGTAAATGAAGGAAGTAAAGAAAAGAATGTGATAGATATATAAAGGAGGTCGTTCATTTTGGTAAAAAGTGTTCTATTTACATATTAAGATTGTAGGCTCATACCTTATTATACCGCTCATATATTTGCATAGCAACATAGATTTATATCAGATCGCTCAAATTATTATGATTTCCTTTGTGAGAAGCAGTCGATTCTCGGGTGTTTCTGCTTCTCGGCCATAGCGAAGGTAGTTTAATCATTTGAAACCTCGGCTCAACACACCTCTCTGTAAACCATGCTCTCAACTTGCTTTCAACAAGAGAAGAAATCTTAGGAACATTTTGTAGTTTAGCCCTTGAGCCAATAAGGGACTTTACTGTGAATTCTAATCTGAAGTCAGGTGCAAATGAAAACATTAATGCTGTGCTTGTTTGTTCTTGAGCATTCAAATTTCCTGGCTCTGTACACCTTGAAGAGCTAGTTTGATCAAATTCGTTTGAAGATGAGCTACTTCCATTCTCTGACAGTGAGTTGTTATCAATGAACTCATGATCATTGGTATTAACTAAAGAAACAGTGATGCACCCAGATATCCTTACTATTGTAACAGATAATTCAACCGGTAAAACGGCAGTCAAAGGACGAGGATGATTTAGCAATAGCCTTGTCTCAATCCCCAATGTAAGAGAATCGGATAAATCGACGTCTATTTGCGCCTCAAGTCTTCCTGAGCCATCAGCACTATGCTTTATGCGACAATTTGAGAATATAGGGAAATCATCACCAATATCGATTTCTGTGAGTTGTATTCTATCCAAATATTCTGGTAGGTCCAGTTTAGCCAAAAATTGATTTAATGAATAGTATATATTATCCGATAATAATGCTTCATTTCTTACTTGTGATATCGTTTGTGCAATTAAAACATTGAACCAATCTAAAGATTCGGAGGCATGATTATTTACGTCGTAGTACGTTTTTTCTAAAATCGTATTAAGCTTCGAATTTCTTATTTTCACAGCATCATCACTATCTGAATCATTGTAATTGTCATCATCGGAGCTTTTCTTATCTCTTCTTACTACTACTCCGGAGGCATCTTTGACAGACGTCGTAGCAGACGACTCAGCGAACACAAAAAACTTAATAAAAATTATCACAACCAAGATAACACTCAATTGTCCTATAACAAGACCTTGGGTGAAGCTCCAAGCGGTAGTTGAGTTACCAATCAAAGAATTAGAGAGAGGATCTTGTATTGCCAACTCTCTTTGTTGTTGAAGTAATTCTTCCTGGCGAAGTTTTATTTGAGCTTTAAGCTGATCTAAAGGTAGCAATGTATTGAAGTTTTCTATTTCAATACCCTTCTCCTTCATCTTCTTTTCAACTTTCTTCAGTTTAGTGGTTCGAATGGAAAATGCAGACCAAAATCTCGAAAAAGTTTACCTTGGAATCAAACATTGAGTGTTTACGTGCACGTTAAATACTCGCTCAATTATCAAATCGATTTATAAAAGTGCCCACATAATAGAAGGTTATATGACATAAATATTAGCTATGTAAAATATTCAAGAAGCCGTTTTCGCCTTTTTGCTCGTCCTTCGTGACTTCCTGACATCACCTTTTTTTGTTTTTTCAATATCTTTCACTTGAGAACCCTTAGAAACCAGCTTTGAAGACTTGTCAGACTCAGAATCTGGAGCGTCTGGAGTCGAAACTACCAGCAGGTTTGAAATTTTCTTTGACTCATGTTCATCATTAGTGGAATATTCATCATTCGAGTCGTCTCCTTTGATCCAGTCTTTAACGTTTGCTAGCAATGACTTGTTTGGATGCATATCTTTATTTGCGTTGCCCACATACTTGGAAGCAAAATCTGTCAAAGGTGAGCTTGCTTTGGAAGTATTGTCTTCATAGTCGCTAGGCAGACTACTATAGTTGCTTACATTATCCAAAAGAGAGGACAATTCAGATCTTTTTCCTCTCATGTATTCCCTGACTTCAAAATACAAGTCTCTTGAAACATTGTTAATGTTAGCCTTATTCTTCATCCAATATCCCCGAAAGTCATTGATTTGCTTTTTAAACTCTAATTCGTTTTTCTTAAACCAACTAACATTGAGCTCCTTTCGAGTAGCACCTCGGGAAAAGTTCCTCATCAAATATTTATCATAATCTCTGATAATCTTCGTGATAATGTCAGACGTTGAGATACCCTCTGTCCTCTGTGTTGTCATGAACATTCCCCTCTCTTTGATTGGTTTGTATATATCATCTGAGTCCAGGGAAGCATATGGTAAATCATCATGAGCAACATAATCGATTCTATGTTCCTTCAAAAACTCGGGAGTCACAATCCAAGGGGCAGAAACAACCTCATCGACCCATTTACAGTGTTTCAAAGTCTCCATCCTTTGCTTGTCTGTGAGGACAGTCATTCCCTTTCTCTTGTGAGTATCAACATCCGTAGCAACACCGCAGACTAGTTCCACATTGGGAAAAGATTTCTTAGCCTGCTCCAATTGCTTCATGTGGCCCAAATGGAAGAGATCAAATACTCCATCCGCATATATCCTAATTGGTCTGTCTTTGGGTGGTAAGTTGAATCCAAAGCCTTTTGGTCTGAACTTTCTAAGGTTCTCTGGCAACGCTGCATCTCTCTTTGCTTCTTCCTCGTCAAATTTCTTCTGTTCTTCGGTCAAAACCTTTCTTTTCTTAGACTCCTGTTCGTTAGCTTCATTTTCGCTATCAGATGGACCCGGAGTTGATTCCGCCGACTCATCAATCTTTCTCTTCCTATTTCTTTTGAAAAGAGATGTTAACTTAGGTGCAATGGAATCTACCGAAATACTCCTAGGAAGCGGACTGCTACCTTCATTTTCTGATTCTGCTCCAACCTTTGCCGAGGAAGCCATTGTCTTCAATATATACCACTTCCACTTAACTGCTATTAAGTAATTCTAGTATATTGTACGTTTACTCGAGAGATGCTTTTCGTTGTGTCACAAGCGAGCCTGAATACTAAATCAAAGAAAAAAGTTTAAGGGCCGCAACTAAACACCGGATACTTTTGATGCGATTCTTCCTATTATTAACCTTGCAATACTTTTTTGAGGTTCTGATACCTCCTTACTAAACTAGGATCTTTGAAGTTGCTTCCCACTTCTTTGTTTGCTTCTTCAAGTATCGTAGGAAACACAACAGAGAGACCTAAAAGCACGTGCTTTGTACAAAGTGCGAAATATGCATTATCAGTATAGAGACTCAAATCTACGAAAATGCTGCTATTATGCTGTGATAGTGAACAGAGATGTCGAAAACATATACATTTTCAGATCTTAAAATGCTCACAGGAGCTACTCTTAGATCTTGGTTTGATAAAGGCTCAATCAGTGGCAAAGGAAGGTTTGCTGTGGTAGATGTAAGGGATTCAGACTACGTAGGAGGACACTTAAAAGGTTGCTATCATTACCCAGCTGGGGACTTTGAAAGTCAATTGCCTGAGCTCAAACAGAGGCTCTATAATAACCACATAGATGACGTGGTATTTCATTGTGCTCTCTCTCAGAGTAGAGGACCGTCTTCTGCCTTAAAATTCTTGAGATCTTTGGAAGATACTATAGATCCAGACGAGGTGCAATATTTTGAAGATCTTAACGTGTGGTTATTAAAAGGAGGATTTAATAAGTGGCAGCAGGTTTACGGAGAGGATACAAAAGTTACTGAAGGATATGATAAGGAACTCTGGCAATCTTGAGCCGTAGTTGTTAAGGGATTCGTTCTTTCAGATCAAATATAGTTTGTAGTCATCTAAATACAAATGCTAAAAATGGTGATTAAGAGTGTAGCCTAAATTAGGCTGGGGCCATCATAACCCGTATTATACATCTGCTGAAGCTGATGAGTAGGCTGCTGAACGAAACTTCCAGTTTGCTGGTATTGCTGGTATTGCTGAGAATGAGGCCCAACTTGTTGAGACGGAATTTGAGATTGCAATCCTGTCATTTGCAGTTGTATCTCGGATCCCGCCTTATTCAAATAGTATTCTTTTTGCGCCTGGCGCTGAGTATCAGAAAAGACAGGAATGGTTGGCATCAATTCTAGTCCACCCGCTGTAACCTGCCTTTGCAAGGGCTGTGATTTACTATTTTGTTGAGCTACCCTATCAAAAAGATTTGTTGTAGTTTGAGAAACTTTAAAAGGATTCGAGCCCGTAGCTGTCGCAGAGATCGGTTCAGGTCTCTTATCTGGTCCGCCAAATGTAAAAGCAGTAGTATTACTAGAAGGTGCGAATCTCGTATTCGCAAAAGGATTACTTCCTGTCATGTTAGCGGAATTTGAATGCGGCTCAGATACAGATGTAAATCGTGCAAACGGATTCGTATCATTTCTTTGAATCGGCACCTGCGATATCGGCTGACTTGGTTGATAGGTTTGCTGAGTATTGCGTGACAGCTCACTTAAAGAAGAATTTTGCAAAAATGGATTCGAGCCGGTCACTTGTTGTGGACCATAACCGCCGAAGCCTGCACCCGTAAAAGCAGGGTTTACATGTTGAGCTGAACCCTGCTGAGATAAATGTGAATTTTGAAGATTATTCAGTGTAACATTACCGGTTGCATTTGCAAATAGCTGGTTTCCGTTTCCCAGTAACTGTTGATTATAACCAGTGTGTTGGTAAGGGATGTTATTATTTAATTGATACTGTCCCTGAGCCTGAGCCTGAGCCTGAGGTTGAAGATTCTGCAGCCAGGGATTGTACGTAGATTGCTGAACTATTAAAGTATTTGATCTTGTCAAGTCATTGGGATGTGATTGTTGTAGTTGTTGTTGTTGTGTTTGCTGTTGTTGAAGTAACTGCTGCTGCAAGAATTGTTCCTGCTGTTGTTGTTGTAATAGTTGCTGTTGTTGCTGTTGTTGTTGTTGTTGCTGCTGCTGCTGCTGCTGTTGCTGCTGCTGTTGTTGTTGCTGTTGTTGTTGCTGTAAGAGTTGCTGCTGTTGTTGCTGTTGTTGCTGTTGTTGTTCTTGTTGTTCCTGTTGTTGTCTTTGTTGTTCAAGTATATGTGGATTCTGTACCATTGAAATATCATTTTTCAATGCAGATCCTTCCAGGTTTCGATATGTTGATTTACCCCTATCTAATAGATATTGTTCTCTGTTCTGCTCAAAATTGGGGTCATCTAAATATTCTTCCAAAGAAGAAGTCAATGCTGTGGGAGCGTGTTTAATAGTGGGAACATGCAATTTAGTGGAATGCTCGAGATGCTTAGCCACTCTTAAGTAATCAATGACATATCTTGTTTGATCAACGAACTTTTTGTAAATTTTCAATGCTCTCTCTGCGTCAAGACGAAACATTTCGAAATAATGCTCTAAAATATTAATAACACCTTCGTTTAGTTCTTGAAATAGAGCCAACAAATCATTAACTAATAATCGAAATGAAGTTAAAACAATGTCATTATTAATTTCATTTTCTATGAAGTTGTTTTTTAAGAGTGCATCAATTTGCTTCTGTACACTTTCACACTCCCTTAATAAGCCCTTATCAATTGACAATTTACGCAACCTTCCGCCATTCTGAGTTGTAGTATTATTCGAACGTTCATCTCTCACATAATCAATACCAGTTGCGTCATATTGTTTCACTCTGGACTGTAAGTACTTGGCATACTTAATAATAAATCGAACGTCTGGATTATTATTGTGATTCCTTAGGATACTAGATGACGACAAGTTAAGCATCTCCGGAGCTTGATTCGCCAAATACCGTAATGTTACCTCCCTGTCGCCTTCTCTTATCATAATATGAATAACAATCAACAGCTTGTACACAACGGACCACGCATTATCTTGAAGTCTAACTCTAATGGTCTTCATAATTGTATTGAAATTTTCAGATTCAACTGCATGATCAATCAGTGTAGCCATGAGTATTGGCTCAATGTATTTTGGCTTCGGCGGAGCAACCTTTACTTTGGTCGCCCCCTTGACTATCTTCTCATAGGTAGTCATATTTCGAAACCCTCTATTAAAACCCTTCCTCCTTTCTATGAATAAGTCAATTGCAGGGCCAATGGCTTTACGGTGAAAGAAAGGAATGTTTACTTAACATTAAGCTACGAGGACAGAGATCGGTGTTCGAGGACCACATGACACTTTTACACGACCATCCAGGATTGGTACAACGCTAAACTAAATTAAGCCCGTTATATATATATACACAGATATGCATCAAACGAAGTTTTGACTACGTTGTAGCTTTAATAGAAATCTTAAACGAAGAGAGCTCGCTTCGGATCATTAATGGAAAAGACTAGAAGAGTTTACACTATTGATTTATTCCGCTTGTAAGGGAAGAATAGTTATCCTCGAGAATTTTTAATCAACTTATAGTAGTTGTAACAGATCTTACTTCTTTAATCCGCCTCTTTTCTCTAAGAAATCTTTTGCCTCGTTTACTTTAGTGGCCAAAAATGAAGAACCACCTTTATCCGGATGGTTTGCCATCATTAGCTTTCTATGTTGCTCTTTCAACTTTGACTTCGACAAAGTTGTTTCTTTTAAGTTAAGGATCTGTAATGCTTCCTTAGCAGACATTTTGTGACCAAAACCTCCTTTGATGAAGGCTTTACCATTTAAGCCGGGCTGCTTCGACTTGACGAACCCAGCAGCAAAATACACAATCCCGAATGCCCCTATTCCCGTCATCCATGGATGGTTAGACATCCAAGCAAACCCCTGATCGAAATACCATTCCACAGAGCCCTCTTGTGCTTCTTTTCTTTTAAGATGGCCACTATATTGTTGCTGAGGTTGGGCACCTATCCTCTGATTTGACTGCTCTCCGGGTATAGACAAAGTTGGCACTTCCATGTTTGTGGGCGCCATTACTAGTAACTATATGCTTGTAAAAAGCTTACTTTGAGAAACGATGGCGTAAACTAATAGAGTGTTGACTGATTCTATGATTTTCTAGAGCGTAATTACTTTTTGAAGAAAAGAGAGCAGAAGCCGCATGAAATGAGGCGTTTTTATTTTAAATTTTTTTTTTTTTTTCTTTCTCAAAAGGACCATCTCATCTTAAAATCTTGATACAAAATAGGTATTCTTACAAGGCAAAATATAAAACAAAACTTTAGTCAAAGTTTTCAGATCACAGTGCAAGGTTTCTTTGAACTAATACTAACTTACTAAACCCAGTGCATTTGATTTAGTCGAAGCTTTTCCGTTTTAGCCCAAGAATATATCTGACATTGATCTGCCTTTATCAAATAAAATAGAGAATGAGAGTTTACACTTGTCATTTCTGCTCATCACCAGTATATCCTTTGCATGGGATTATGTTCGTAAGAAATGATGCCAAAGAATTCAGATTTTGCCGTTCCAAATGTCATAAGGCATTTAAACAGAGAAGAAATCCACGTAAATTAAGGTGGACAAAGGCATTCAGAAAGGCAGCAGGGAAGGAATTAGTAGTCGACTCGACGTTAACATTTGGTGCTAGGAGAAATGTACCAGTTAGATATAACAGAGATTTGGTTGCAACAACCTTGAAAGCAATGGCGAGAGTAGAGGAAATCAGAACAAAGAGAGAAAGAGCATTCTACAAGAATAGAATGAGAGGAAATAAGGAGAAGAAGTTAGATGCAGATAAGAAATTGGTCGAAAGGAATCCTGAGTTGTTGAGAATGAGGGAAGTTGAATTAAAGAGAAAGGCAGAAAAGAAGGCAGCCAAGGAAGCCTCAATGGACATTGAAGAAGAAGTTGCTTCCGAGGATATGATTAGCGAGGATGAAGAAATGGAGAGTGAATCAGAGGTCGAAGAAAAGAAGCAAAAGGTATTGCTTACAAACAAAAAGAAAAGCAAGAGAGCGCTGCGTTTAGCGCAATAAGCATTTTATACTTTCATAATTTAAGTAGTTTAACTCCAGTAATCCTATAGTATTACAGAAATATAAGAAAAGAAATCTATCAATATTGACTTTTGGTTGCAATTATTTATATTCGTTTCTCTTTCGATATGACTGGCCAATAGGGATTTTGTTTGTAAGTGAATTCTTTATCTCCGGTTTCCTCAAGGATATCATGATTGCTAGGAGATTCTTGTAATTTTGATCTGTTTTTCTGTTCGCTCAAACTCTTCAGGGAATTCATTAACAATGCAATAGTATGATTATGAATCTCTGAGTGTAATTTATGTTCCTGGCGTCTTTTATGATAGGAAATTTCATCACCCTTGGGAATATCATCGACTTTTCTCTTATGTCTTCGAGGTGTTGCTTGGGGTGTTGCATAGCTATAAGCGGGTTCAAACGATGTCATATTATCAATTATAATCGGTATTACACGCGTCAAAAGCGCAATTCTGATGGTCTCTCCGTTTGAAAATACAGCAAGGTCTTTAAAAGGTCTATTCTTGGGGAAAATATCTTAGACTTCGTTTATAGGTGTCGATTTAGTTGTATATCTCTGATATAACTTCTTGGAGGGTGAAGATGATATGAGAATTTATTGAGAATTAGAAAAATCATACCGATCAAAATTATATTTTATGAAAATATGAATGAAAAGGATGTATTGAAGTCCAGAAGAATAAAGGGACGACAAATAAAGCATGCGCCTTTGGTGCCGATAAAGCTGGTCGTTGAACATGAAACTCAGATTTTGATTAAGACTTCTACTCCATATGTCGCTGCACTAAAAAGAATACGAAAGGCTCTTGACAAGTTTGATAAAACTTCAACATCGAATAAGAAATATTGCAATGGAGAGTATAAGAAAGTGAAATATATATCCGTGAAAGGAATGGGGCGAGCGATAGAGAAAACCCTTTCGATAGGGCTCAATTTTCAAGATGAGTTAGGTTACAGGATTGATATCTTGACTGGAAGTGTTGAGGTGCTTGATGAATTCGAGGTGGACGATGAAAACGGAGAAGAGGAGTACGAAGAGTCAGTATATAAAAAAAGAATGGTGAGCTTCGTTGAAGTAAGAATCTTTCTTAAAAGGAATATTTAATACATCTATTAAATCAGGTCTATTCACGTACATTTATACATTATCTTCACTTTCAAGTTTGCAACTTTTTTTGAGCATGCTCCTTAATATTTATCAATTCTATTATGTGTTTCTCAATTTTAGCACTCTTCTTAACCTTCTTACCAGAGGTCTCAAAATCTTCTTTCAACTTCAGCTTCTCATCATCGTCTAATTCAACGCCAAATACCTTTTCTGCAATCTTCACCAATTCTAGGCATTTGATGTAGTCTTTCAAGTAGTATGCCCTCTCACAAGCATTCAAAAGTTTTACCCTGTCGCTCTTCTTAAGGTTATTTGATCTCTTTAGAACCTCTTCATCTAATAACCAATTGTCGCTATTTATCGTGGGGCCCTCTTCAAAAAACTGACGCTTCTGAGCTAAATATTCTTCATCTGTCTGCTTTTTTCTGGATTTTTTATGTTCTATAGGCTCAGCTTGGGAAATTTGAGGTTCTGCTTCAGACTCTGCTACTGGATTCAGGTCAACTCGCAGCTCATTTTCCACCACTTTTGTCCGTTCCAATCCCATTTTACTTGTTCGGTACGCCTATTAGATTAATAACAAACTTGAAGGAACATAAACGATGAGTAGCTTAATATTATCTTGCAGACAAAAGTTTCAAGTTTAGTATGTCCCTCATGGTTTTTTTTGTTTTATATGTACATGCTCATGTGACTTTGGATCAGTATCTCAAAAATTAAGTGATTTGATAACGATAAAGGGGTCTAATAAGATCAATTGTTGAAGACATATAACAAAATAAAATGCTGAATGAATCTTCCTATTTACTTTCTAATATATCCGTACAGAAATTTCCACGAAGGCTCCAGCGAAGCTTAATCGTAAGATTCTTGTTTATTTGTATAATCGGGGTTTTAGCATTGCAATTTATTCCACATACAATCAACAAACACGGCAGTAGCATTTTTAGCAATGAATATTTAAAGAAATTGATCATCTTGAGAGATAATAGCCACATCAGCAAGACAGTGGCAGAAGACATCTTTTCTAAAGTTTTAAATGAGACGAATTTATCCAGAGACTGGCTAGAGGAGTATACATCCAAGCCTCACTTAGCAGGGACAAATTATGAGCTTGCAAGGTGGACGGCTGAAACATTTGATAGCTTTGGCTTAGAAGCAGAAATAAAGACATATTATGCTTATTTGAACTTTCCTAAAGAGCATGGCTTACATTTACTTACTAATAATAAAGTGAAGTTCTCGGCATCATTGGAAGAAGATGAAATAGCAGAGGATTTGCAGACTAAGAAAGGTAAGACAGTTCCTACATTTCACGGATATTCTGCTAGTGGTAATGTGACTGGACGATTCTTTTATGCCAATTATGGCTTTAAAGAAGACTTTCAGAAGTTGGAAGAGTTAGGCGTAGATATGAAAGGTAAAATAGGGATTGTTAGATACGGCGGCATTTATAGAGGCTTAAAGGTAAAATTTGCTCAAGAGCACGGTTGTTCTGGCGTATTGATCTATTCAGATCCCGGTGACGACGGGGAATTTACTGCAGCCAATGGATATGAACAATATCCTAAGGGTCCCGCGAGACATGAAAGTTCTGTCCAAAGAGGGAGTGTCTTGTATTTAAGCTATGGTCCTGGTGATCCTACGACACCTGGATATTCCTCGAACTCGCCTGATGTTCCAAGGAAAGATCCTCATGATACGATCCCCAGAATTCCAAGTTTGCCTGTAAGTTATCGGGACATTTTACCTATTTTGTCACATCTAAACGGTACTGGTTTAAACTCTAGAACTCTTGGACAATCTTGGGTTGGAGGATTATCTGGTTATGATTATTCTGTTGGCCCATCGCCCAAACATCTTACGATTAACTTGTATAATGATCAGTTCTACAACATCACTCCAATTTGGAATGTATTTGGAAAAATCAAAGGTTCAATTGACAACGAAGTTGTCATTGTGGGAAATCATCGAGATGCCTGGGCTGGATCAGCTGGTGATCCGAACTCAGGATCATCAGCCATGCTAGAAATTATAAGAGCTATGGGTGTTCTACAAGAAAGTGGATGGAAGCCATTAAGAACAATAATATTTGCCCTGTTTGATGCCGAGGAAGTTGGCCTTGTTGGGCTGACTGAATGGGCGGAAGATGTGTCTAAAGAACTTCAAAGAGATGTTGTTGCTTATTTAAATTTGGATAGTGCCGTTAGCGGTACTAACTTAGTTATGCTGTCGTCTCCTGTTTTAAATGACATTTTAATATCGGTAGCCAAAGACGTTGAATATCCTAAGGGAGGAACACTATATGACCATTTTATTAATGGTCCTCTGAGAGGTAATATCCTGATATTAGGTAGTGGGTCTGATTATACTGCCTTTTTGGAGCATCTAGGTATACCTTCTTTCGATATGTCGTTCGCGTCGGCTAATGGAATTGATCCTGTTTATCACTACCATTCAAACTATGACCTGTTTCATTGGATGGAAAAATTCGTGGATCCTGAATTCAAATACCATAATACTATGAGTAAGTTTCTCGGACTTATAACGCTAAGATTGGCTGATCATGAAGTCATAAAATTTAATGTCAGTAATTATTCAGCTGCAATTCAAGATCACTTCAACTCAGCGGTAAAAGGGATACCAAAAAAGTGGTTCAAAAAGAACATTACCATCACTAATTTTGATGATATTGAAAATGTTGCGATAAATGAAGTAGAATCACTCTATTCAGCAACTTCCACAGATTTCTTTCAAGAATTTAGTAATTGGATACTGTTGTTTTCAAGCTCAGATATGGCCATGATGAAAAACAAGAAATATATGAATCACAGAAGCCGCAAGTTTAAGGTTACATTGGAATATCTTGTGAATTTCACTAACCACACGATCAACAACTTTCATGCTCATGCAGTTAAATTTGATGAAGATTCTAGGGAGTTGCAGCATGAATTAGATAAAGCTGAGTCTTTCTGGAAAAAAATAAAGCTCTATGCCAGGCTACTGCTTAGAAATAGACAATTGAAATTCTTGGAGAGAAATTTCCTTTATGATGGTGGTCTCAATGACAGGTCTTGGTTCAAACATATAGTTTATAGCAGTGGGAGATACACGGGCTATGAAGGACAAGCACTACCTGGATTACAAGAGGCGATAGAAGATCGTGATTTTAAAGATACAGAGAAATGGATAACAATATTATGGAAAGCAATAACTCGTGTAACTTTCCTGATTGCCTTATAATTAGCAGCTAATAATATTTATGAACTCATTAATTAATGATTATGGATAGTGTGTGTACGTTTCGCGTGTAGTTAATTAGGCTGGAAATATTTCAAGATTTGAATTGGATAGATAGATCTTAGTGTTTCATGGTTAGGCATCCCATTAAAGTTTCTAATAAGAAGCTAGTATTGGATCTTATCCAAAACAATGATAATTTCCTCTTCGATTGTGATGGTGTAATTTGGTTAGACAATAAGCTAATTCCCGGTGTTTTAGGAACGTTAAATTATTTGAAATCGATGAAGAAGAACTGCATCTTCATTACGAATAATTCCTCTAAGTCACGTCTCGATTATGTCTCAAAGTTTCAATCCTTAGGAGTTAATGATGTGGGGTTGGATAATATCTATCCAACGAGCTATGCAATTGCCCTATATGTGAGAGATGTTTTGAAATTACCAAAAGGCTCTAAAATTTGGATTCTTGGAGAGAAAGGTATAGAGATAGAATTAAAAGAGCTTGGATATGTACCATTAGGGGGAACAGACAAGCGATTAGATGTCCCTTTTGACACTAGTAACGAATTACTTTCAATTGATCCGGAAGTGAAAGCAGTCGTGGTGGGTTCTACTAAAGACTTAAACTATATGAGAATATCTCTGACCTTATTGTATTTGCTCCACGAAAACAAGTCTCTTCCTTTTATTGGAGCAAATATTGATCGCTCTTATCCTGGACCGCATGGATTAACTCTTCCAGCGGGCGGATGCGTAGTTAAGTTCATGGAATATGCAGCCGACAGAGTCGCAGAGAATATTGGGAAGCCAAGTACCGTTTTTCTAGATACAATTCTTAAAAGTAGAGGCTTTGATCGCCAAAGGACATTAATGATAGGTGACACCTTGTATACGGATATCAAATTTGGGAATGACGGAAACTTAGGCTCTGGAAAGGGGACCTTACTTGTTTTCACTGGTGGCACTAAAAAGGAAGCCTTTGAACACTTGCTTTCGAAGGAAGACAAAGATAAGGAAACAGAAAGCGGGATTCCTTCATTTTATATGGATTCACTTGATGATATAGTAAGAATTATAGAAGAATACTAGACTAAATATACTGTTAATAAATTTAATTTTGAGATTACAAAATCTATGATAGTAAATACTGTATATCGCATTTTGTTATAAGTGCCAATGGCAAAATCGTATAGGTAAAGAGGTTTTAACCTAAAATGATTAATTTTACGGGTCAGACTAAGAAAAGGGTAGTCAACTTAGGAGATCGAAGGCAAAAGAATTCTTCTACTAATTATTTAGAACAAGCCAAGCTACAGAGGCAACATAGGGAAGAACAGCGGCAGTTAGAGAGGGCGAGTTTAGTTTTGCAAAGATACATCCGTAGAAGAATAACATTGGGGGATGAATCGGAAATTTTGGCTAAGGAATGGCTCAGGGAATCCCATTCCTTTCGAAGTGGAAAGCAGTGGAACGATTGGTTGGTTAAATTCCATTTTATAGCAAAGTGGTATTTGAGTCGTCACGACAAAGCACAGTGGATTGAGATCCTTTCTACCCTAAATGAGAGCTTAGAGAATAATCATTTCGACACAACAATTAGAGCTGCTGAGTTGGTTATGTCTGGCGTAAGCTTTTTGATCGAATGTTTCAATGATCGTCATTATGACGCTTCAATTTTGGAGCTTCTCCTAGACGGTTTGTCTATTTCAATGTCAACCGTCGAAGTAGATGAAACTAGCCAGTATTTCAACTTGACACGTAACTTACGATATGCATTATCACCATCACTTTCTCAAAAGACAATCAGCCGCATCAAAAGTTTACTATTTCATATTAATATTAGAGATTCAAAGAGGGAATTTATTGCATTCTTATCGATTCCTGATATATTTGAAGAAAATTATCAAGAATTGGATATATTAAGGCTGAAAATACCTGAATGTAAGCCCGAATTGGATGGAATGAATGATCTTAACTTATTGATAAATTTTTTAATCATTCATGGTAATTGCAACTTCAATATCCAGGACTATACTGTTATCAACACAATACTTTCCAACTCAAAATTCACAATTTACTCGAACGAATACATGGAGGAGGATGACAATCTCGAACTTAGAAGAAAACAGAACGTGTTATACGTTGACGAGAAAGTTCTTGGAAAATTAGAAGTATTATTCTCCTCTAATTTTATAAAGCAGGCAATTAACAATTTTACTAACCAAATGGACGATGATCTTTCTAGCCAGGCGCTTGAGATATTTGCGAATTTAATGTCCATCATGCCATCGTTCAGGAGTAAACTTTGCATGCTTATTACGATAACCCCACAGTCCTATAGGTGGTTTTTCAGGCAGCTTATGAAGCATCCGATAGCTACAACTTTCAATGACAAGTCATTAATGAAGCAAGATTTCGTCAGGAGTGACGAAGTACTTACCTTGTATGATCATTTAAATGAAAGTTCCATACTGCGATTTTGGAAGACTCTCTATACTTTTGAAGAGCTATTCTCTTACTGGCTAATTGTTTCTAACGATATGGAAAGCTTTCATGACGATAAATTAAATTTGGATGAAATTTTAGTTTTATTACGATTTTTGAAATCCTTGTGTTTGTCGTTAGTTTTCAATTCAAATAATCAAACATTGTTTCCCGATTACTCCAAACTAAAGGAAATATCGATATCATTATTGAATCAGCTTTATATGAAGAATTTGAGACTTCAGTTTCTTCCAAAAAACTTCTGGAGCTTGAATGAAATAAACTTTGACATAGACAGTTTGCTTCAAGTTATAGCGCAGGAAGAAGAAAGAAGGCTAGAAGAATCTGATGATTCTTTAAATTCGGATACTGAAGAGGACAAATTCACTCGAAAAAAGCTGAGGTTGAGCAATTTGAGTAGCACAACATCAGCAAAATTGGAAATACTTAAAAAGCTACCTTTTTTCGTTCCGTTTAATCATAGAGTGAAAATATTCCAGACTTTAATAGATTTGGACAAACAGAGGTTTAATCCGGATCCGTTTGCTATGATAGCTCCTCCTAGGTTAAAAGCGGATATAAGACGCGAATTTCTTTTGAAAGATGCATTTAATAGTTTCCACAAAGTGGGATCAGCTTTCAGGAATCAACTACAGGTTGTATTTTACAACGAATACGGAGGTCAAGAGGCTGGCATTGATGGAGGGGGAATAACCAAGGAATTTTTAACCTCTGTTGTATCGGAGGGAATTAAGTCCGACTTATTCAAGGAAACTCTGGAGAATCAAGTCTATCCAAATGATGATATATATAAGAAGTTGAGCAAAAACATTGATACACAAGAGCAACAAGAAAAGCTCTTATATTTAAGATTTATGGGTAATGTAATTGGAAAGTGTTTCTATGAAAATGTCTTAATAGATGTTTCTTTTGCTCCCTTTTTCCTCAATAAATGGTGCAACGATAATATGAAAAATTCGATTAATGACTTGAGCTATTTGGATAAAGAATTGTACTCAAATTTAATGAAATTGACAAATATGAGTAACGAAGAATTAGAATCATTGGACTTAACGTTCACTACGAACGAGCAAGTCGGTGGAAGAAATGTTACGTTTGATTTAATGCCAAATGGCGAGCACATAAAAGTAGATACTACAACCAGATTAAATTACATTCATCAGCTTTCTAATTTCAAGTTAAACCAATCATTGCATATACAAACAAAATTCTTTCTCGAAGGATTACGGGAAATCATCTCTCCCAGTTGGCTTAGCATGTTCGATTCTGTGGAGTTACAAATGCTTATTTCAGGAGATAAGAAAGACGTCGATGTTCAGGATTGGAAGGACAATGCTGAGTATGGAGGTTTCTTTGACGATGATATCACTATTAAATATTTTTGGGAAGTGGTGTCTGAGATGAGTCCAGAGGAGAGATTCAAGTTAATAAAATTTGTAACTTCAGTTTCGAGAGCACCTTTACTAGGTTTTGGCTCGTTGAGTCCGAAGTTTGGAATTAGAAACTCCGGCCGAGATATTGAACGGCTACCAACAGCCTCAACATGTGTCAATCTTTTGAAGCTTCCGGATTATCAAGACAAAAGCTTGATTCGATCAAAATTACTATATGCAATCAATACTGATTCGAGATTTGATTTATCTTGAAAACATACTTCAGATTTTCTATAGCTATTTATACTTAGAGCATGCATTTATTCTATAGACGGCTGGAAGACTGTAATCGGAATTTTTTCAATTGTTGATAAGATTATTCTGTCGAAGACTATACCAGCATCTTGGTTCTTTTGATATAATATGTTATCATTGCTGTTATTCAGAATAACGCGACGTCCTCTGATAATCATACGTCGATCATTCAGAACAACGAATAAAGTTCAAGTATTCAATCCTTTGTTACCCTTCGATGTTCTAGATGAAGTACAGAATGATGACTTGGAAGAAAAGAATGAAAAGTTACGAGAGGAAAAGAAAAAATTAATGAAAAAGAGCAGACGCATGCTTAAAAAGAGGAGAGAAAAAGGAAAGGGTGACCAGGGTAAGGGGTCTGAAACTGAAGGGAAAGATAATAAGGGCTCACGGGATCTAGTGCAAAAAGATGGGGAGTTGTATAAGACTTCAAATGATACAATTCCGATAAAGAAGGCTGTAAGTCCTGAGGTAAATGTTGTGGGACTCGAGCAAGAAGAAAAGAACGATTCGGATGTTAAGGGTACTGAAATTAAGTCGAATGATAAAAACCAAAACTCACAAACGAAAGATGAGAACAATTCTGATACACTCGCCGCGGGATCTTCAGCAACTATGGGTCCTGGTGGAGGAGGAAGTGGTAATGGTAATGGAGGTGATAATAATAATAAACCGCCCGCTGATGATTCTGAATCAAAAGATCCTAAAGATGAAGACTCGAAGGATAACGAGAAGAAAGAAACAGAAGAAGAAACGAAAAAGAAAGACAAGGAAGAAGAGGATGACCTTGAAGAAGAATTACATGATGACGATGAAAAGGAGCCCAAGAAGTCAACAATTAAGCAATATTTTGAAAGATTCGGAAAGTTTTTATTCAAATGCTTGGAAACTATGGGAATTACGTTCACTTCTGTCGGAATTTTAGGGTTTGCAGGTTTATTGTATCATACAATTTATAATGTACATGCCCTTGATAAGATCGATTCGGCCTTCGAAAACGGTGATCCAGCATTTCAACTTTTGATGCATAAGCGTAAAAGTATAAATCCAGAAGAAGAATGCGATGGAAATGATTTAAATCAATTCTGGGTAGAAAGACCTCAACAGAAGCTCGTAGACGATATTATCAGTGGTAGAATTATAGGCCGCTACTTTCTAGTTATCGGGGAAAAAGGGACGGGAAAAACTTCTCTTCTTTTGGAGTCTATGAGAAAGATAAATGGTTACAATGTAGCAATTTTTGATGCTCATGCTGACCCAGAAATTTTTAGAATAAGGCTTGGTAAAGCTTTGAACTACACTTACTCAGAAGATTATATTGGCTCTCTATTCAGTATGCGAGGACCTCGAGACACTACAGCTCTTTTGGACATAGAGAGAGCATTTGGTAAGCTAGAAGAGTTAGCAATTAGAAGAACTACAAAAGTCGATCGACCCCTTGTCCTCATTATCAACAATGCTCATTTAATCAAGGAAAATGAAGAAGGAATGAAATTACTTGAATTATTGCAACAAAAAGCAGAAAATTTAAGTGGTTCGGGTCTTGTAACTATGATCTTCAACAGCGATGATTACTGGGTGTACGAAAAATTGAAGAAAGTAGGTACAAGGCTCGAGCTTGTCAATGTGAGAGATTTCAATAGAAGTGAAACTATCAAAGCATTAAATTATATCCGAGAGAAGCATTTTCCTAGCCATAGTCACCCTGACCTATCACTAGATGATAAAACGAGTCATAATATATATGATTTAATTGGCGGTAGACCGCAACATATCTCACAGGTGGCTAGGCATAAAGATATCATTCGTGCTTGTAACGAAATAATTGACCGAGAGAAGACGTGGTTCTTGAATCAATGTGGTTTGCTTGGTTCAAGTATGGATGATGATGTAATAGAAAGCGGAAAATTTGCTACTAGTGCAATGTTGCTCATGAACGAGTTTGTCCATATGGATAGAACTCGTTTAAGCAATTTAATTGACAAAGGTGAAGAGGATGAAGATGACTACAAGATGGATCACCAATTACCAGAACTTCCGTTGTGGAGAAGTAGACAAATTATGACCAGAGCGGACTATATTAGGCAATATGACAATCTAAATATTTTCACCATTGATTCTGATTCCAGAGTTCGAGCGGATTCAGTTCCTATGATGAGAGCGTTTCATGAAATTGCTTCGCAGCCACATTTTGAAGACTTGCTCCAAGATACTATGGACAGAGTGGCTGATATTGAGTCGTTGGGTAGAACCAGAGAGCTTGTGGCAAAAGACTTGGGCCTCGGATCGACCTTCACATTCTCGAAAAAAGATTCTTCTTATCGTCTCGCTTTGCAAAAGTCCGAGCGTCAGAAGAGAATGGAAGGTGATAACGAAGATTCTTACAAATGCAACGACAATGATTATACCGATGACATTATTGAGAACTCCAACAAGAATTCGGATAATGATACTTACAAGTTGGATGACATTTCATTACAGGATACAAGAAAATGGTGGAAACTCCGAATGCAAAGGTTTGATCAATCTTATCTCCCGCCTTTACAACGTGACAGAAACGACATCGACATTAACAGAACCCCCAGATGAAACTCTGCAGGAAAAAAATAGTTCCTGCTTCCTGTCACCTGCATGCATAGTAGACACAAAAGTAACATCCAAGTTATATACGCCCGGAACTCGATCGCAGGATTTGAGACTGCTTTTACATACAGATAGAGGAAAACATGAATAAACATGGGGTAGTAGTTACTCCGCTCTAAGTTTGATCTCTGATGATATTCTTAACATATCAAAATCTTTTTCTATATTATGATCGCGTCGTACATTAGCTGGCAAGATAAATCGCTCTCTACTTCTTAAGCGAATTTGGTTCTATTGTTTAATGGTTAGTTACCTGAGAGTTCTCATAAACTTAAGCTTGCGCAAGAGAGGAATGTGTTCCCATGCATATTTTTGCGCAAATTTTTCTGCTTTGTCGGCCGTAAAAAAGCGTCGCAAGGAACCGATGGGCGGGTAGCGACTTTGGGTCTTGTTTCAAATGGGCGACCCTCTCTTGTTTAGCTACGGAAAGTATCGCTACGCAAACAATAAGCGGGAAAAGGCATTTCATCTGAGAAATCTCTCAAATGAAATACGACGATTTGACTACTGAACGTGACATGAATAACATTGTTACTTACGGGAAAATCTAATGAGATTTTAGTAATGCCAAGCTGGGGTAGCCTTTAAACTTAAGGATTTCATTTCTGCATAAAGCGTCTTGGCTGTTCTATAGAAACGAAGTTTTCGACCACCCCATCATAAATGTGCCTAAGTAAAGGCTGCAATGCATGATGTAGGATTGTCGAAGTATTTGGTCGATGCTTCATGTGTCCTGCAAATCAAATCCCGGGGCACAGGTGCAGTACCTTCAATTATAGCCAATTTTATTGTGCTTAGTTTTCTTTTTTTCTTTTTCTTTGTCCTTACGAAAGTCGTATTTCTGGTTTGAGATATATCAAGTAAAAGGGGCGACAGTTAGCACTTTCTTCATATTGACATTTTGTAAAGAAGTCTCTATTTAAGAAGAACGTGTTTTTGTGTGACTGGTAATCATAGGCCCATCGTAGCACTCTTTAGGACGCCTTTGAAATGTAACATGTTTTTCTATGCGTCGGATGTACATCGTAGATCGGTTTCATATGTCTTTGCCGAGCACGTCTCGGGAGATTTATATTCTCTAAGTAGTCGGCAAGCTAACAAATATGAAATTCACACTTCACCTCTAATGGTACGTTATCAGACGTTGTGCTGTAATCTCTTTTCTATTGGCTTCGGGGAGCTCTGAAAATAGCCGAGAATCTATTCTACGGTATGCATGAACCTCCCGAAACTCACTTGGCAATATTTTAGGGATAGAAGCACGCAAGATAGAAATAGGAAAATGCAGTCCTTCATGTGACGATCAGCGCCTTCACCGTAATTGTACCCATAGAGCTAAAATTCGAAATTTTACGACCGTGCCTTATTACTAGTAGCAGGACGACATTACAGGAAACGGCTTATTAGGCTCGCAGACTCACTATATATTTTGAAGCACTTTCTTCATAATACTGCAGGAAAAAATATGACTGGGTCGAAATATATTATATACTCTCCTTCCTTTTTTTAAGAATCAGTTTTACTTAGTGAGTTGTCAGATTTCTATTGAATCAGAATTAAGCGGTAGTAATCCTAAAGTAAAGGTAAACTGAAGCTTTACGTAGTCCCCCGGACACATCAGTTTACAACACATCAACATCGACCTGGAAAGCAAGTTTTCTTGATTAGCATTATAAAGATTTGAAACTTAATGGACGTGTTTAATTCTGCTTTGAGGAATCCCGTACCACCCATAAAAAAAGAGACGGACGATGGAGACTCGCCCAGCGAAGATCTTGCACATCAAAGTAGCGACTCATCAAGGGGCGACTCCCTTCGTAAAAAGAGAAATTCAAGAAGGAAGCATAGAAACTCACATTTGGGCTGCGGTACTTGTAAAAAGAGAAGAATTAAGTGCGACGAAAACCTACCAAGTTGTTTGAACTGTTTCAAAGGAAAATTACATTGTGCATACTTAAATCTAGATGGCCCAGCAAGAAATGCGTTACGTATGGCTCAGTATAATCAAAACTTGAGGCAAGATAAGCTGGAAGTGGAAAGGCCTCAAAGGTCTAGGAGCATCACTTCTGCACCAATAGAAAATGCAAACAACGTTTCTGGAACTAGTGATAGCTCTATTGCGAACTATTCTCACCACATGATTCCAGATGTTTCAATTCCCAGACCTGTTAGCTCTGCGGGTGTTCCAGGAGATCCGTTAATCCAAACTTATGGACATACAATTGGTGCTCCTCATCAATATCCGAATGGACAGCCAGCTTTTGCAGTTCCTTATCCAATTGTTCAGTCACAACTACAAGTACAATCTCATCAACAGGCTCAGGTTATACAATCACCGTATGGTCCAATTATACAATTGCAACCATTGACAGCTGTACCGACATATCCAGTTCCAGTTCCACAATCGATTCCATTAGTTTATTCATCGGCGCCATCCCACATTGGTCCTGTTCCTTCTGTTTCTCATACTCCTTACCATTCAACTTCACAAGGTCACACACCTCATATTCAACATAGTCATATTCCTGAAATTAAATCCGAGGTGTCTGTACGGATTCCCGCTGCAAAGTTAGATCACAGAACACTGACGCCGCCTCCGTTGGGCACAGAGAAGCTGGTTGCGATAAGTAACAGTCATGGAAATTCGCAACATTCTCTTACACTGACCCCGGAAGGTGATATGCATTCACGAAGAAAAATGAACTTTACAAAAGAAACTAAATACGTTGATAAAGATAACTATTCAAGTCAAAGTAAACGAAAGACTGGTACTTCCCCTAAAGTGCCATCCCCAAATAGCAATTCTTCGACACGTTGTGCAAGCAGACATACTACTATAGATGATAACGAAGACTTGGGAGCCTCAAGGGACAATATTCCACGAATATCAAAATTGCTTTCTTAACCGATATCCGAGTCTAATTGCCTCAATACCCAAATGTCATTGAAATTAATGCATATGAAACCCATAATTGAACACTAGTCTTCTAATAACTACCTTACCGCTCAAATGATTTGATATCGCCATATGGACTAAAATGCATTTTTATGTTAAATCTTCGTATATACATATTTTTGAAGCGTTTTGACATATATCTCACTTTTTCCGTATTCAAAGTATAAAAAGCTTCTCAGTAATAGCACCATTCTTAATTATCAAATATTAGTTTACCTACGCTAGTCCGTCTACATACATTATAGAATATAAAGTCGCTACGCATTTGTCATAAACGAAAAATTTCACACTTCTGAAAATAATCAATGCAAGACTTCGATCCCGAAGATATCTATCTCAAAAACAGATATATGTTTATCAAACGATTGGAGATATAGTCAAACACCCGAACCGAAGGTAGCGGGCGGTACCTTCTGTACTTTTACGAAATTTCGGTCCTGCGTATTACCAAGGACACGCCAATCCCTGGCCCTAAGCCATAGCAGCGTATTGTTAATTCAAACAAAGAAATACTAATTTCTGGAAAAGCCTTAACGATGTGGCCAAGTTGACCAATGGAAGATTATCCTTGTTTCTTCTTTTCTCCCTAAGTGGCGGTGCAACTAACAATATGAACACGGTATTCAGTGAATGTTTCTAGGCTGTGCATCTCTTTATTATCAGATTGCAAAAAAGCGCATTCTATTATAACCGAAATAGGATGCCTAAAAATATCTACAAAGTAAATTCAGACGTAATTGAAACGTAAATTCGTATATAGCGCGGGCGAGTATGGAAGCAACAAAACGTATATACGATGATCCATTTGGCTGTCTCGTCTTATAGAAGCTGCGAATCGCTTCAAGTTGACATTTTGGAAAGTACAATAGAAGTTGTCCGACAGTAAAGATTAGGTCCACTGAGATGATCTGATCCTATAACGGTTTGGATATAAAAGTCATCTCCACAATTAAAATCTCTTTGTTTCATTTTGTCGTATTCATTCCCCAAGGGGTATTAAACAGGCTTTTCAAAGGGTTACTTTTTGAAGGATTAGCAGCAAATCTTGATGCATGCCGTAGTCAGCATGTGTAGCTGTAGTTTCGTAAAGTTCGGGACAAATGGGAGAGATGAGCCGCACTAACGTAAAGAAACTTGCGCCTGTTCAAATCAAGAGAAACCCTTTGTTTGAGGACTTTACGGCCCAACTTTTGAAAACTTTACGAAGTTTGTCCGGCTGAAGATCTACATCGCAAGCAAATGTGAAAGAAATATATATTGAATTGTACACTTTTAAGGCTTATTATTCGTTTGTCCCTTTTTATTGGGGCCAATTACTATTTCATGGATGATACGTATTTAAGGCGTTGGCTTCGGTTTCTTCTTCTTCTCGTCGATTTGTTCGACCTTAACTTCATTCAAACCTTTCTCTTCTAAAAGTTTCTCAATATATACCTTGGCTTCGTCGCTGATATCCCCTTGCACCATGATTTCTTCCTTTTTCTCTGCATTTTTGGTGACCGAAGCACCAGTCGCAAACTTAGATGCGAAAGTTTTTGCCAATTTCTTCATGTCAATGTTGAAGACTTCTAAACCAGATATAGAAATTACATGCTTTCTTCGATTTCTTTCGATTCGCTTTATGATAACTTTCGATGCCAATTTCTTTTGTAATTCCCTTTCCATTTTAGCTTCCTCTTTTTTCTGTTTCTTCTCTAAGTCTTTAGACATGGCTTGTTCCTTTTCCAATGAGAGTGTACTAGTTGCATTGGCCAAAGCATCCTCACTATATAATTTGTCGAATAGGTCTTCATGCTCTTGCTTCAACCATTCTTTGCATTTCTTGAAGGTCAATCCAAACTCACAAAATTCAGGTGGAAAGGAACAAACCTCACAGTAAGTTATAATCCTAGGCTCTACTTCTGACATATTGTCCTACGTATTATTTTCACCTTATTCCTAATTTCAGAGATTGCTGTCATCACCTTTTTTTTTTACATCTCGATCAATAAATTGAGTGCGACAAAATTACTTTTTTTCACTATAAACTCTAATTACTATTAATTATGAAATGTTTCACAACATTCGAACTTTCTGACTGGCCTATAATCTTCCAAATCTATACAGTTCCATAAGCTTTTGTTCAACATTACTTTGTCGTCAATCTTTTCGTAAATCTTCGATAGAATCCACCAAATTTCAGAATCATTATGACCATATGGCCAGCTTAAAGTAAACTTCTCCAAAAGGTTTTTTAGTCTGATGATACCTGCATTCATATCCTTGTTTGATATGAATAAAGAATTGTCAAGTTCATCATCTAAGATGAATAATTTCCCCAATCCCAACAAGGTATTACCGTAGTCCTTTTTATTATAAATAAAATTTTTGGAACTTAATACTTCCAATGACTTTTCGTATTCCTGTAACGATAAAAATTTTCTCTCCTTAGACGTCAACAATCCAAGAGCAGTGAAAGTTTTGAAGTTAGGTTCAAAAGCCGACTCGGCTTCCACAATACATTGCTCAGCATCTTCTAAAGAGCCTGACCTTAAATATATACTAGCAGTCCATAGCCAAATTTCTTGTAACGTAGATTGCTCGAATTTTTTGTCTGAAGCACTTGTCAGTGACGTGACAGCATTGTTTATTGGCTTTTTATTTTTTTCTTTAGGCTGAGAAAGTTTTTTCATTTTATCACTCAGCATTATATTCCCATGGACAGACGTCCCATTAGACGATGGCACGGTAGGATGTGGGTCAATAAAGCTCGGTCGATGTGACCATCTAGCCTCACTCGTCATAGCTGAGATTGTCTTATGATTCTTTTCAACTTGCAAATCAAATAGCTCGTTATAAAGTAAGAAAACCTCTGATATGAATTCCAATATATATTGAGTGCCGTAAATTGATTCCCAGACAGCCAATTGGGTAAGTTTTAACTGTAAAATTTCATGTTTCGCTTCATTATGAATAGTCTTCATTTGATTTCGCTGTTCAATTATATATATACTGGAAATATTCAACGCATTATTTATGAATTTTTCCAGTTCCCTCAAAGAAGTTAATGAAGTAGCCCTAATAGTTCCATTGCTTTCCACTTTGTCCTCGTTATTCTTAGTCTTAAATGTAGCCGGGTTATTTGTTTCAAAAGACGACATCAACAATACCAATAAGTTCCAGGTTTTGAAAGATTCTGGATAATGTTTTAGAATATGTTTGCAAAATTTTAAAGCCGGCTTCAATTTTTTACTATGAGCCAAAACTAACGCGTAGTTAAACGCATAGTGTAAAGAACCATTTGGCTCTATGATCAAACACCTCTTATAAAACTCCAAAGTTGCCTTATTGAATCCCTCAAGCTGCTCATAGTTCGAGGCGTTATATATGGATAAATAATAGTAATAGTAACCTATCGAAAACCAACCCTTTGAAATCAAAATTGGTAACGTTGCGTTCCTTAGCAGTTCGGCATGAGGATTGTATGATTGAATAAGAAAAGAAAGAGGATTATCAGCTAGCTCTGAATCTTCCTCATCATATGACAAATGAAGGCTGTCGGATAATGTATTCAAATACCATTTCAAGTCTTCAATGAATTCTTTCAAGGACTTTAAGACAGAATTAATGTTTGTATATTTGAACTTCTGAGATGCCTCAGCTCTACCAATGATTGATTTCAAAGGATTAAACTTCTCGATACAAAAGGAATAAAGGTCAACTACCGATACAATGTCATCGATATGTCCGCGACCTTGTACTTGTTCCTTCTTTTCGTAACTTATGTATATTTTGAATGCTGCTATCGCCTCGTCATACTCGTTTACATGTATCAAAACCTTCACTAAATTTGACAAAACTATTCTGCTTTGATATGTTCTTGACATACAGCTGATCAAAAATTTCTTTGATAGGTGATATTTTAAAATATGATCAATATCAGATATTTTCATTAAGTTATTATAAAGAGTTCCCACGTACGAATCTAAGTCGTCGTTACCCGATGTCGCATCTGATATTGAGTTCTTCTGAGAGAGATGCTTCTCTATTTCTTCAGATATAGAGTGACTGAATTCACTTTTAAATTTAGGATCCAACAAAAGATACTTTTCTTTACTTAATAAATAACCACAGAAATTGATTGTCGACACCCTGTTTGAAAAGAATTCCTGACTTTTTATGTCAGAGTACGAAATAAGATGAGATCCATTACGAGATATAGCTTGAGCCAACCTTGAAAATATCAAGTCTCTCCAATACATTAGTGCAACGTGTGAGTTATTAGCTTCTGGAGAAAGATCACGTAAATAATTTATCCAATACTTCACATCTATTAACCCATATAATGCACAATACCTACAAAAAAGGTATTGAGCAAACTCGTGCATTACAGTAGAATTGAAGCTCGGTTTAGGCAAATCTCTTATCTCATTCAAGGCCGCCGCAAACAATTCATTATCTCCCTTCAAATGATTTAAATGGGCAACGACAACCAAATAATACAAAATTTCTTCATACGGCTTGGACGAATAGTTGGCTGCTATTGATCTTATATAATTAAGGAGCTGATCTATCTTCTCCGAAACACTTCCAATTTGAACATTCAGCAAAACCTTTGATCCATCTAGTTCATTTCCATTAAAGCTGCTCTCTATAAGCAAAAGCATTTCGTAGTCAATGAATACAATCTGCTGGAAGAAATCTTGAGAATCCTGAAAGCTCAGTACATTTTTTGGAAAGCACCCTAGTATCAAGGCTCGAGCACTTTCATCATTCACTGAATTTTCTATAATCATTATAGCAAGGACCTCTAATCTCTCCGCCAATGCTTTGAGTGAATTCTGTATTTTTTTTCCATCAAACACCTCTAGCCTGTGAAATTAAGAAACGGCTTACTACCCCATGTCGCAATACGACAAATGCACCACACGACATATATTGAAATTATAAGTACAGTACACGTGAGAATCAGTAGAATCTACTAACATCTCTCGAAAACTCTATATAAACCTGGTAAATCCGCAATTTGAATGACATCTTTCATAATGTCTGAAGTAGCAACAAACCTGCTTTTTAAATTTGGAAATATAATGTTTTCCAATATTTGATTTAGCTCATTTCTTTTATTGTTGTCAATGGCATCCAGTTCCTCACCTTGTGGGGAGTTTGATCCAATGGTTTCTGGAACATGCCATAAAGCAATTTGCTTCATTATGCCACGTAAACATTCTTTCTCATCATCATAGTCTATGTGCGAACCTAATCTGTAGACAAAATGAGGGAGTTTAGAAAATGAAGGAACGATATCTTTGAAAAGCATAGGCAATGATGAAAGCTTATGTTTACCATCTGATAAAATATCAAACTTCATTTGAAAATATTCTTCAAACATATCCTTCATAGAATATATATTAGATATTACTTCGTCTTTCGAAACAAGATCCGTCCGAACAGAATATAATGGTTCAAGAATATCTTCAAGTATGATATCCTGTGTTGCTAGAATCTCTCCATAGTTGCAGAACTCAGTTAGAGCAACCTGATAATAAAACTCGGATAGAATGGCAGCATAGCTGCAAATGAATAGCTTAACGTCATACTGGAAACAACATAATCTCCTATGTTCATCGACTATCCCAATATAGGAAGCATTAGTGAAAATATTGGTTAAAGAAGAATCTACTTTCTCGGTTAATTCTTCCTTCAAAGACAAAATACTATCAAGACTCATATCATTTCTCTTTTTCTCTGTTATATTTAAGCTGGCCCGCATATTAGGAATGTGTCCACCAGCATTTTTCTTCGTATCGTTAGAGTTTCTTGCGTCAGACTGAACATTAGTCTCTATTGTAAGATATGGACTAATTTTCGATTGGTTGGAATCAATTCTCACAAATTTATTCTCTTGACGATAAGTCTTTAATTTCGGATCATCCCGTGAGTTATTCATTCGATCGCTAGACTTATTTAGAAAAACAGACTGTGTCGTAAACTTCCTGGATGTATCTACATTTGAAAGAAGATCATAAACTTGTTCTCTGATAACATCAATTATTTCTTCCTCGTGTAAAAACCTTACCTCTTGTTTAGTTGGGTGGATATTCACATCCACATTCTCAGGTGTAATTTCTAAACTTAAGTATATGAAAGGTTGGTTTCCTTTCGGAATAAAAAAATTATACATTGCAAGTAGCGTCTTCTTTAGGGGATCGCATGAAACGAGTCTATGATTGATGAAAAATATCGGTTGGATTTTTTTTTTGTTATTATAATTGGTATTTGTTATTGCTCCAGTGACATTTTTTAGCCCAAACTTATTAAAAAGAGTTTCAGTGTCTGAATCTAGATTATTATTACCGTCTATATTAAATTCAATCAATTCATTTGCAACAGATATTCCAAAAACAGTTCGTATTCTTTCTTTAAGTGTTAGCTGTGGTCTTATTGATATAGATTGGCTGCTGTCAGCAAACTTCTTGCAGTTAAATCCGACCCCTTTGCTATGAATTGCATATCTAGTCACAACGTCTAATATTTTGACAAATTCCTCATTTTTTGATTTTAAAGCTCTGATTCTTGAAGGTACATTATAAAACATGTCTTCTACTATGATCAGAGATCCATTCGTTCCAGCCACGGGCTTTGGCTCAGTATTCGTTGTTGCAGGTTTAAAATTTGGTCCACAGAGCTTACCATTTGTATAAAACGCCTTGTAGGCCAAAGGAGAATCTTTCGTCTTGGTTATCACAGACAATCTAGAAATGTGTGATATACTAGCCAAAGCTTCACCTCTGAATCCATACGTAGATATGCTTTCTAAGTCTTCAAACTTCAGTAGTTTAGACGTTGCAAATCTCTCACAAAGCATTTCCATATCAGACCTTTTGATTCCCAGTCCATTATCAGAAATTTGTAGTAATTTAGTTCCCCCTTCTTTGACTAGAATATCGATCATAGTAGAGTTGGCATCGATTGAGTTCTCTATCAATTCTTTTAGGGCATTACACGGCTGTATAATTATTTCCCCAGCCGCTATTTTGTTCACCACTGATACATCCAATTTTTTAATCGTCTTATCTCCTACGATTCTCTCCTTCTCTTGTCCATTCATTATTGCTTAGTTCAAACCTTCATATCTGATAGCTTCTCAAAACTTATCAATACGCGCGTTTAATGGATATTTTGGTCCTCACAGTCTAATACTTTGAATATCACAATCATTAGCTTGAACAATGAATGATGCTTCAAACGGAACAGAAGATGATGATGATAGACCTCTGCAATTGAATGTAATAGAACGCCCAAGGCACGAAGTCATTAGACATACAAAAGCTGAAATAATGAATGATTACGAAAAGGTCAGAAATCAATTGAAGGAACAGAACTCCGAAGCAAATAAGGGTTCAGCGGGGGACTTGGTCTTACGCTTCATTGACTCTTTACACGAGCTCTATGATTCCATTCAAAGCGAGCGAAATAGAGATACCAAAGTCCACCTAACGGACTCAGAAGTTTTAAAAGAGACAGCACAGTTTGCAGTAACGAATGCTAAAAACATCAAGTTTGGAGATATTGGCGTCGCAGTTGGACAGAAAGAGTTTCTTTCAAAATTAAGGTCATATATGGCCGGTAATGAATACCCATTAAATCAGGAAGAAGAACTGGAAAATGAAGTCGCTAGTATTAATGATGGATATCTCACAAGCGAGAGCACATTTAATAAGTATAACTGGTTAAAGTTGGGAGCTCTTTACTATCAAGTTAGTAGGAAAGCTGTAGGGACTGATAGCTTATTGGGGCCACTAGATACAGAGAGGAAGCGTCCAGTGCATCGTACAAGGACCGTTGACGATACAAAGTCAAGTGCCCCAACTACAGCTAAGCACGTTCAGGCTACTGACATTGATGGACTTGAAGAGCAGAATACAGCAAATATGGTCCGGAAAGTTTACGAGATATTTTTAAAAAAGAATAGTAGTCCTAATGGGATGAATTTCTTTAAATTCTTTATTAATCCACATTCCTTCTCCCAATCCGTTGAAAATCTCTTTTTTACCAGTTTCTTAATTAAAGACGCGAGGTTGAAGTTATACTTAAGCGACGAAAAAATTCCAATGATTCAACTCGTTACACCAGAAGAACATGAAGAGGCTCAAATGAGTAGCAGGGTTAATAGTAATCACCACATCGCAACTTTCAACTATGATACATGGAAAGGTCTTGTGGACACTTTCAATATCACGCAAGCATTTTTGGACCATCGACAAGAGATTGAAGATACGATTCCTTTAGAGGAGTTTAATGACTTTTAATATTTTTTATGATACTATGTACAAATTAATCTTTTGTAATTATGCTAATCTCTTCGTCATCCAAGTTTACCCATCCATCTACTTGTAATAATTCATCGAGCGGCCATTTTCGAATAGGCAAAATGCTTAAATTTGACTTTAATTTTAACTTCTCAAAAATCTCTATTCCAGCTATTCCAATCATTACGGCATTGTCTGTACAAAGAGAAACATCTGGAAAATGGAAATTGAATCCATTCGTGCATTCCTTGTCAAGTAAATTATTAAATAGCTTTTCCCGCAACCTTTTATTCGAAGCAACACCACCCGAACATATGAAGTCTTGGACTCCGTAAAATTTATTGTCTCCCCCAAATATCTGGGAATGTCCATGTTTCTTGAGAGCAATATTGATTCTATCGATTAAATGATCAAAAATAGCTTCTTGAACTTTGAAGGCAACATCCTCTTTCTCACGCGTATTTAGTTGATCACTTCTTGTCTTCTTGTAGCTCTTGATGACACTTAGAAAGGAAGCAAAAGAAAATTGAATTACTTCTGGGCGCTTTAAATGCTTGGGCCCTCTCATAGGGAGTCTGAAAACAATTTCATTCTGAGAGTTATTAATAATGGGGGATGATTCAACTTTTGAACCAGTAAGGATCCCTGAGACATACCTTTCAAGCTCTTTTCCAAGCATGTTCCCTCTCAAACCTATTTCTCTCGCGCATTTGTCTATAGAATCCCCAGCGGCGATATCAACCGTGTCAATAATTATCTCGTGTTCTATTAATGATTTCAGAAGTACCAACATTGTATGACCACCGCTACATAATAGACTCAAAAAAGGAAATCTGGGTAATTCTGTGCCCTTTTGCTGAGGCTTTGGTAAATTTGCAATCATGATATGTCCTAGCATATGATGAACACCAACTAAGGGCTTCCTCCATGCCAAAGAAATGCCCTTTGCAATTTGGAGTCCGGCACTTAAAGAGCCCACCATGCCAGGACCTCTAGTACAGCATATTAAATCAGGGGGTGAACTAGAGTTGAGACCGTTCTTTTTGCAAAATTCATCTATCATCTTTGCCATCGAGTATTGATGGAACTCGTGCGCATCAGTCGGGACTATACCACCAGTAGTGGCGGAATTTAAAGTTCTCTTGCAATGATCGAGCACTATGATTGACTCCTGATGACTTTTTCGTTCTAAAAGTGCAACGCAAGAATCATCACAGGACGACTCAAGAGCTAAAACTTTGTAATATCTTCTTGCAGTAAGCATTCTACTTCGTAAATTGGCCATGCTTAACCTTAACATTCTAGTTAACAGTACGTAAACATTTGTATGACAGCAATCAAAGATGTGAAGGATAAATACAGGTACCTTAGAAAAGATGAAAATCGTAAATAACTCCTACGTAGATTTTGCAGCAGCACCTTCAATTCTTGTCTTATTTCCTTATTATTTCTCTCTCAAGCTCATTCCTGTATTTAAAATGAAAAATCATCAAATAGTACGACGAGAATGTATTTTTTGCCGACTTACTATATTTATCTTATTTATTTTTATAATCACCTTGTGAAACTCAGCTTAGAGCTAAGATACTTCAAAGTGACAGTAAGCAACAAGCTGAGTACCAAGGCGATTGAAAGGAAAAATATATACCACTAAATTGTGGCCATATACATCTGGCCACTAAAAGAACGAATAAGAGCCAATTTTAGAGCTCGTTTTTACTCAGCAAGGTAGTACGCATTTCGTTCATTGACAGTTGCTTTGTATATAGACTTCTACAATTCAATGTCACAGTCATTCAGCTCGTCAACCCTTCCTTTGAGCTTTGTTCCTAGCCACGATAATGTACCCAAGCGACATGATACAACAGGGCTTCCTCAGGGTGGAGGTTCTTTCACAGATGAGGAATCGAATAATGTGTCTCCTATTATTGATTGCATGCTAGCTGGGGCTTTCGGAGGATTTGTTGGGGACTCGTCGATGCACTCGCTAGATACCGTGAAAACTAGGCAGCAGGGATTTCCAAAAAATTTACAATATAAGAAGATGATTCCAGCGTATCTTTCCATATTTAAGAACGAAGGGATACGAGGTTTATATGGAGGCTATTCTGCAGCGGTTTTGGGATCGTTGCCCTCAACTGCAACGTTCTTCGGCACGTATGAATTTACAAAAAGAGAACTAATTAATGGGTATGGATTTAATGAGACGATATCTTACTTTGTTGCCGGTGTTTTAGGTGATTTATTTTCCAGCGTATTTTATGTTCCATCTGAAGTCCTTAAGACGAGACTACAATTGCAAGGGGTATATGATAATCCATTCACTAAAGAATGTGGATATAAATATAAAAGTTTGTCAGATGCTATTTTTTCGATTTTTAAGAAGGAAGGTGTTTCAACGCTCACTTTTGGATACAAGGAGACTCTTCTTAGAGATTTACCCTTCAGTGCTTTGCAGTTTGCCTTTTACGAAAAGTTTAGACAGCTTGCAATTTATTCGTATGAGTCAAAAGATCTTCCTATCTGGTTAGAGTTGACAACTGGTGCGGGCGCTGGTGGTTTAGCAGGCATATTAACTACTCCATTGGACGTCATCAAGACTAGAATTCAAACTAGCCCATCTCCTAGCGGGAATAAGACGGGTGTAGCTAAGAGTTCACGTGCAAGTTTATCTCCGTCCAACCTCTCTACTTTGAGGGCCTTGCAATCTGTATATAAAAGTGAAGGAATATTGGGCTTATTTTCCGGTGTTGGTCCCAGATTCATATGGACAAGCATTCAGAGCTCGATTATGTTGCTATTGTATCAGATTTCACTAAAACAAATTGATCTGATGCTCACAAAGGAATCGCTGCTTGCTTAGGATGACGGTAATTTATTAGAATACTTGTAATATAGAGTTTATAGATAGTTGAACAAACGCTGAATATATGTACATACTTCATTATTACTCACGAAAGCATCCGAATGATTCTTTGGGCTGCTATACCTTACTGTTGGTACCCTTTTTTTACATTAGTATATATTTCAAAAAATGAAATCTATCCGAGATAGTTTAGTGGCTAGAATTACCGTTTGTCGCATGGTAGACCGGGGTTCAATTCCCCGTCTCGGAGGTTTTTTTTTTTTTTTTGGCTTTACCTTAGAGCCTTCATCAATGCCATCAAAAGGAAGAGCTTAAAATCTTTACATAAATATAAAAGCTCAAACGAGGATGGCCCATGGTCAAAGGCAGGAACTAGTTCTTTTAAATGATAATACGATAATATCAGACGGTCTATTAGGATCAACTTCATCCTTCTTGTCAGTCGTTTCACATACTCAAGGCACTTCACCGGCATGGTTAATAAACTCTTTATTAGAAAATGCTTTGGAAGGTACTGCTACTTTAATTAATAAAGATGTTACCAAAAAGCAGGAAAATAGATCGGAGGTCTTGTTGGTTTCTTTTCTTCATCTGAGGGACTTTTTTGTTAGAGGATGCAAAAGACAAGGTTTGGATCTTGATGGAACGAAAAGTTTCAATTTTGTTGATTGTTTTACTGATTTATTTTCAGAACAGGTTCCGGATGTAACAAAAGCGAAGGATCTGGTGTTAGAGGTTGTTCATCGAATCTTGAAATTATTGGCTGGGTGCTCGAATGACAAAAAAGTCGTCTTTATTGAAGGAATTGAAATTTTACTTTCATCAACAAACTTGGCTACGGACAATTTGTTAAGTCATCTTTTGGAAATAAATAAAAATTGTAACCAGCTCTTTGTTATCTGTTCACAAGATGCTCCCCAATTCATTGACATGAATTCCACTAATGCTGATAGTCCCATTTTTAAAATCACCGACTTTCTTACCAAATTATACTACAGATCTAACATGAACTTGCAGTTGAATCCTTTAGCTACAGGAAGGGCAAAGGATATAACTGGATGCTTAACTGTATCGCGCGGATGCCTTCCTTATGATCCAGTTGCCGTAAGTGTTGTGGATAGAAACTACATTTACTGCGTGACAAAAGAATCAAATGTTGTATTATATTATAGGTAATCATTTCTTTCTATGTATATTATATAAATCATCTAATGCAAATTCAATCGCACATCTTGTCCATAGTAATGGAAACAAGGGCCAAACAGACCTTTCGCCCACAAGCACCCAGTACGGAATATTTTCCATTGTTTTGTGAACGTCAAATACCCTCCCAAAATCTCTTAGTAAATACCTTAGTTCAGGAACAATCGTTATTTCTCTGATACTGTAAAGAGTTTGAGCTGTAGATGGCCTTTCATCTATGCAAAGTCTTTTAACAATATCCGCCAAAACGCCAAATTTGTTTAAAACATCTAGACGGTGCTGAATTTCTAACCCAAGAATGTTCTTAAAGTGCTTTATGAAGTTGAATCCTGAATCTTTAGCGTACTGTTCGATGTCGATGATAGCGGTTTTCAGGTCCTCAAACAATCTTTTGTTGTCATCACCTTCACCAAGCTGCTTCCTACCATTATCGTCTTTATATCTTATATTTCCATAGGAATGGAAGTGCTTCAAATCGTTGCTGATAAGAGGTGCTAGGTATGGGCGAGCTAAGCTCGTTATAAAATGATTGACATTAAACAATTCAGTTAGACGGGTATATGGGGTACTCTCTTTGGCCATAAAACTATTCGTCTCTTCTCCAGATGACGAGTCCCTACCAAATTTAAAATACTGATATTCATAACGAACGTCTTGAGGTTTTAAATAATTCACCTTGAAGGAGGGTGATTTCGGCACTATGCAATTATTGAAATCTTTGACGTAGAGTTGTACATTATCAGAAAGGACTCCAGTTCCTATCGATGCATAAATAGCAGTCCAAATTATCACATTTGGTGCACTAATATAGTTCAAAAGTGACGGTACTGATTGATGAGTAGGATGTACTACTATGTTTAATACCTTCTCAGTTTTAAGATATGCTTCCTCAAAAGTCAAATCACCAATTGTGTCACGAACAAACTTAAGAAATATTAAGATGTCTTGAGAATAACCCTTCTTCACAACGTTTTCTATGACGTTACCATATCTTTCATCAACATCATGATTCAATCTATCAATGTCACTCATCACATCTGCAATGGAAACTAAAATCGGAATTAATTCACTATCTGTCAAAGTACATACCAAAGATGCAACCGCTGCTCCTACTGCGCTACCTCCTATAATTCGAGGGAGCAATCCCTTAAAATAAAGAGCCTTTACGACACCCAAATGACAAAGCCCAAATAAAGATCCACCTTGTAATATCAAAGCCGTACACCCAAAAGATTGTCTGGCATCGTGGAAAAAATCCAATTTAAGTTGATCACTGTTCATGATAAAATTGTCTCTTTCCTTATCTTCTTGAGAATTTATGGACTCACTTAAATAGTTCAAACATTCAAGCACTTCAGATATATATTCTTCAATCATAAATTTAGTCCCCAAATATGACTTAACGTACAACCTTTTCTGCGCTATTCCCCCAAAATTTCTTATCAATCCAGACCTTAATAAAGACATGATTAAAGGAGCATCCCTGTTGCGTCTGGCCTCTTTTAACAACTTCACCCTTTCATTAATAAGAATGTAGTCATAGTGTTTTGAAATGAAATTTTTCCTCCAAAGGTCCATATTGGTAAGTTTATCAATTTCCATGACAGTCTTTTTCCATTCATTATAACTCTTGACATTTTTGAGATGTTTCAAGTATTCCTTGAGTGGGTTCTTTCTATTATAAAGTTGATAAAGCTTCCTAAACCAAAATTCTAAAATATCGAAAACAAAATCGATTATCGCCCATATGAATGCTGGCGTATGATTTATGCCAAAAGCTACAATAGGTAAAACGTAAGTCTCGGCAAGTGATCTAAACATGGCATTGGAGCCTACTATCGATGTTAAGAGCAAGCATTGTCGCGATTATTTTATATCCTCCCCACAGAGACGTACTAAATGTCTCTGCGACATCCATTTCAAATGATACTATACACTACATCATATAAACTAGTCACCATTGCCAGCAGACTTCATGAGCTTTTTTCCACGTATCAAAAACCTTTTACCAAAGCTTGAAGCCTGTAAGCCTGATGTTTCGACTTTATCTTTAACTATAGATACTTTGCTTCTGAGGGAATTATGTCTTCTTATGTCATTATGCGTAGCATTTTGATATGCCTCTGAAGCAATTTTACCAATATGTAAGTTTGAAGACACCTCTGATTGCTTCAAAGTTTCATTCAACCACTGCTTTAGCCCTGTTTCATATGCAGATTCCTTATCTGATGCATCCTTTAGTGCCGCGATCCTATCGATTGGTTGAGAAATATTCATAATTTCTTTCCACCTATAAGGAGGATACTTTTGAGACGAAGAACTCTTACTTTTGCTACTAGATCTCTCTCGCGCAGCAATAATAGAGCTCCCAGTCGTTGACGAACTGACAATTCGATTTTCAAAATCTATGGACGAGGAAGGTTCGTTGGGGTCTAATTCTTTGTTGTCCGATCTTTTGTTTATCTCAAGCTTAGAATCTTTGTCATTCGTAGGTTCCAAGGCAGGTAACAAGCTTGAATATTTCTGTCCTGATTCCTTTCCGTTTAATTTCTCCCTAGAATTGTTTGGTGTAGATCGTTCCTCTTTGAATATGGCCGGGGGATGTGGCTGCTCCTTCAATATGGAATCATCAGTAAATTGTGTTTCAGAAAATGAATAAGATCCAATATCGCGAGAGCTTTTATCACTACTTGTTCTGTCCGAGTGCATGGTATCATGATCATCGTCGAGTCCTTCATCAATATCTGGTAAGGCTGCATCTATTGTCTCGGGTACAGATACGGAGCTATTATTAGATACCATATCAAAGCCCTCAGTAGAACCTCCCTTCGTAAACTCAGCATAATTATTATTAGATTCTTGAGTATAGGGGTTGAAATTCATGTTAGATTCATTATCATTATCATTAATAAATTGATCCCGGAAGTTGGTAGTATTAGGTTTCCAGTTACCCAAATTGAAGGTATTAGTACTCATCTGAGATACTCTTCTCGAGACAGTGTCTTTATCACTTCCGGTGCTAGATGTATCAACATGAGCAGGATCTCCATTAGTATTAATAGAAATTTTTCCAGTGGATAACGAGCCAGATGATAAAATTGACTGGACATAGGGGCCAGGTGATGATATTCCCCTATCCTCTAATGTATAATCGGTGTCTCTGCTAGCAATGCTAGCATCATCTCCTATGTAGCCGCTCACAGCATCGGCGATGTGTGAATAGTCGATTGATATAAGGTTCTCTCGACTCGGAGGTGGTTTTCTTACAGAACGTCTTGTCGTACGAAACGTATGTTGTTGAGCAGTATCACCAATTGGTTCTTTCCCATATTCATTCTGGTCTGAAGAAAAACGTCCTTCACTAGAATTGGATAAATCTCTATTCTTTGATTGCAGGAGAAGGCTGCTTTTGAAGTCGTTATCTGAATGCATACTATCCAAGCCAATACTTGCCGTATCTTTTACGTCAGGCCCATCGTTAGCGAATGTGTATGTATGATTATTGTTAATAGATGCACTTTTTAAGTCATTGATAAGCGAGTCTAAAGCATCTGTTTGAATCCTTTTATGATGACTTGAATCATCTGTTCCTTCTTCTCGGCTTTTAATAGATAAAGGCTCGAAATCAAACTGTGAATCGTCCAGTGCATCTTCTTTGTCATCATCAGACCCATTACCATAACTCTTATTTACTTCCCAGTTTACACTTGACTCGTCACTATCATTGTCAGACTTTTTGTCGTCTATTGAAAGTTTCAAATTGCCAATTTCATCTACTTCATCTCTTTCTGGTCTTTTCTTGTTTCCTGTTTCCAAAACTTCGTCAAACCCACGATGCTCGTTCCCCTCGACAGGATGTGATCCAAGTGTATTTGGTAGTATGTCTCGATTCACAGAACCTGATAAATTTCTTGAATACGCAGAACCAGAACTCATAATATTGATATTAGCTGGTTCATGCTGAATAGAATCGGCGCTTGATTGGAAGCTTACTTCAGAATTAGGGGTGTCTGGCTCCTTATGCAAGTCAAACGAATTATAAGTTGGAGTAGGAGGTTCCAAGTTGTCAGATATCTTGGTAGACTCCATATTTAAATTTTGTAAGCTTGATTTGTTACTCCCACCTTGGACCTTTCCCTTTGAGCCACTGCTCGTGTCAGATTCATGTTGTGACATCTGTTCGTGGCTATTATTCGAGAGAACAGTCTCATCTACAATATCGGGCATTTCATCCTCAGATGACGAGTCAGCGTAAACCGTGTTTCTCTTCAACCTATCTATAGATAACACTAGATCATCACTTCCCTTTTCAGTGCTATAGTTCGTTTTATCAATCGGATATCGTTTATTTATGTCTTCTTCACTACCTGTGGTCAGCGACGCGTACTCGAAGTCATTGTTATAATCTTCTCCCCATTCATCGCCGTAAGATGGGACAGTAGCTTTGACCCACCTAGCTGATTTCTGCCTACCAAAGTTATCAGACATGAGATACTTTAAATCTTGAATGTCAAAGATTGATTAAAAGGTTCAGCTGTGACTTCTCTGCTCCTCGCATATATATAAATTCTGCACTAAAACACGACTGTTGAAATTATGAGATCAAATGTATAAATTGTACTTATATATTTATAAGGTTACAATATGAATGCTAAATTCATATCTTGGGGGTGGGAGCTACTTAATTGAGGCTTCTGGCTATATTTTGCTTTCAATAACGTCCTCATATTGTTCAATAAGGACAAGTAGGACTGATTCGGCATTTCTGATAATACCTTTACAAATGACCAAGACATTGCACCAGTGCTTTGGCCACTTTCATTGGCATCTGCACTAGTTTGGTCATCCTTGCATCCAGAAATAGAAATAACATCCGCTGGTGATGCCTTAAAGTTAATCACCTGTTGTCTATCTGGGGCCAGTTTTGTGGCCTTCTTGATTAGACCACCAATAGACGAAACTGCTCCCATTATATTACCAGATTCATATTGCATGAATGCACTGAGAGCACCTGTACCAGCATCTTTCCATAAATTAGGTTCTTTTACTACACCTTTGGTAGAATAAACGTAAGGAAGATCTAATGCAGTACCTGAATGACATGAATCATAGAGAGCTGTCAATCGACACCCTGGTGGCAAGCTTCTTACCATTATATTATGCATATCATCATCTACTATGTGTCCTGCCTGCTGGAAGTCTAATGGGTAAATAACATCATCGTAACCGCTTTCTTCGTCGCCATCTAGATCCTCTGTCAAACCTCCATGTCCAGAATAATGGAAAACCAAAGAATCATTTGGTCTTGCATCCTGGACCAACCACTGCATAGCTCTTAATACATTATTCTTGTAAGGTCTACGTGCCATTTGATCTTGATCATCTGTCAAAACTACTATATCTTCCCACTTATACCCCCAATTACTTACCAAGAAGTTACCCATATTCTTCACGTCATTGATACATCCACGTAATTCATTCGAAGTACCGAAATAGTTAATGCCTACTAAAAGTGCCTTCTTTTTACCAGTACAATTCGAATATTGAAAAGTGACTCCAGTATTCTGACCAAAACTTTGAGGATTTGTCGGTGGAAGAGTTGCATTACCTCTCTGATAGCTACCTTGTTGAGAAGGCACTTGAGGCAGACCAGAATAATATTGTTGCTGCTGGTAATGTTGAGGTGCTCCTTGTGGAGGTCCGTAATTTTGTTGATGCTGGTACTGTTGAGGTGCTCCCGGTGGGGGAGCGTACCCTTGCTGTTGAAACTGCTGAGGAGGTGCACCTTGTGGCGGTGTGTAATTATTATAAGTGTTTCTTCCCGATCCTGGAAACATATTCACTAAGTTACTTCAAAGTAGAGCTTATTTTAAGATTCTGACGAAATTTCAGTTGAATCTAGTGTAGTTAATTACATAGCCAAAAACGCGAATTTCAGTTATCTACAGTAATGAACATTCGCTAAAATAAAACAAAGCGTATATCAAAATAAAATATATAAAACGCCCATATTTCATAGTTTTGAATCCGGATCAGTGTTTTGTTGGATCACAACACTGGGATAAAGATCACCTAAGAAAGAACCGGTTTGCCAAAGGGCGCCGTCCACAACTTGAACAGTTCCAGTGACATAGCTAGCGGCTGGCGAGAACAAATACACAGTAGATTCAGCAATATCTCTAGTAGTTCCTAACCTCTGCAAAGGAACTCTTTTGTCAATGGGATTGCTACCAGGTGGGGTCAATTTAGACATTCCTATCGTACCCTCAATAGCACCTGGAGCAATACAGTTAGAACGAATACCTAAAGGTCCAAATTCGACTGCCAACGCATTGGATAATGCATCAATTCCTGCCTTAGCAGCACTTGCATGACTTTGAAAGGGAAGACCATAATAATGCAAAGTAGCACTAACAAAGATAATCGCACCTTTGTTTTTCCTCAATTGGTCAAAGGTAGCTTTGATTGTATTGTATGATCCTAACAAATCGATCGATATAACAGATTTGAATGCATTTGATGACAAATGATTGAAATCTGCTAAAAAGTTACCTGCTGCGCCAGCAATGACGAAGTCAATTCTACCGAGTTCCTCTACCGTTTTGTTTGCAGCCGCTACCAAGCTGTTGACATCTCTAACATCAACATTACCCAACCCAATTACCTTAGACCCTGGTCTTAATTCCTGCATTTCCTTTGCTGCCTTTAATGTTTTCTCTTCGTTTCTACCGAGAATGGCAGCGTTAGCCCCAAGTAACACCAAGGCCTCCGTCTGTACCCTGCAAATGGTACCTGCCCCACCGGTAACAAATACAACTTTGCCTTTAAATAAGTCAGGCTTCCAGCATCCCTGCTCAACAAAAGATTTATCTAAGGTAGACATAATATTTGCGACAAGTTTGATGGTTAATCAGATCACTTTCTGCTGAAACTGGCTTCAATTTAAATGTTTTAGTGGGGGAGCGGGCTTACCAAATGATGGGTGCGCGACCGAGGCACAAGTCCTCTATGCACTTTTCCCCAAATGCCCCAGTTTTCATGCCGAAAGCTAGTAAGGTCTATGAAGGATTCCGCTTAGTATTTAATGTTTAGATCCATGTGCGCTTCAATCGAGAGTAGTTAGGTCATATTAGTTCGATCGATCTAGCAATTGCTTGGTCTAAAACTATTTAAGATGGATAACTTTTGCCTTTAAAAAGAGAAAAAATTGTGTGCTAAAAGCTTATAGATGGAGAAGTTGATTTGCTTGTGCTGATATTTCCTCAGCTCATGGCTGAATCAAATCAGGTCATCATATAAAGATCATTTAAGTGTAAGACAAGGTTGCATTTTTCGTTTTTTCACGAGCATTGGCAATCTTAAGCCGCAGGTTCACAATAGCTATATCTGAGATAAAGCCGAAGTAGGAGGCTATTGACATGAAGTCAGAGGCAGTTAGAAACTTCTTCGATGCCTATACAAGGATGAGAATAGTCATCTTGTTTCATTACAAATCTCTTTTAAATTATCTTCTTCAGCTTCAGCTTTCAAAAAACATAGTCGTGTCGCGCCCAATGATTGGACCATCAGTCTGCCTCTAAATCTATGAGCGGCCAAGTCTATTAAAGACTACTTCAGTAGCCACTCTGTCATCTTACATCATAAAATTAGTTTCAGGTCAAAGTTTCATCAACGAAGATTTTGACTAGCTTCTTTGATTGCATTTTTTACACCGAAGCTCTAGGGGGTCGAACAAAGAAAGAAAAAAACTTGAAGGCACAAGCTTCAGGTTTAGCTGATAGCAGAGGGGCGCTATATTGACAAATAATCTTAAGGATGTCAGGTTCATTTACTAAGGAACAGGAGCAGATAGTCTTGAAAGTTCTCTCTTTTGAGCCACATCAGTTTTATGAAATATTATCGGTCGAAAAGACAGCAAATGATTCAGAAATAAAAAAGTCATATCGTAGGTTAGCTGTAAAGCTACATCCAGATAAGAACTCGCACCCGAAGGCATCGGAGGCATTCAAGTACTTAAATAAGGCATGGGGAATATTGAGTGACCCTTCTAAAAAAAAGTTGTTCGACCAAACTGGCGCAGACCCAGATTCTAGATTTGCCGCATCTTCTTCTGGCGCTGATATGTTTGAAACTAGCCCATTTGCTAGATCAAGCGGGTTCAGTAGCTTTCAAGGTGGTAATGTGTTTGAAGATGATATATTCAATCTTTTTTTTGGAGGTGGAGCGCCAGGATCAACTTTTACATTCGGTAACAATGGTTTCACTTTCCAAAGCTTTGGTGGAGGTGATCCATTTTTTGGTCCCAATGTCAGGACAAGTAGCCGGAGACAACAGAGGACTAGACCCCAACCGCAAAGACAACAAGAAGAGCCTAATATTTTTAACACCTTGAAAGCAATCTTTCCTTTCTTTTTGTTTCTTTTGGTACCTCTAATATCATCTTTTTTTTCAGAATCAGTTCCTGATTACTCTTTTCAAAAAACAAGGCAATATAACGTCCAAAGGGCAACCCCAAGATATAAAATACCCTATTTCGTCTCGCGTACTTTCACCGAAAAGGATATGACTGCAAAGCAATTGAAGAATTTCGATTTTAAGGTAGAGAAAGTTTATATTCAAGATAAAAGGTCAAAATGTTCTAGAGAGCAGATTTTGAAAAGTCAGCTAATTGAAGATGCTCAAGGTTGGTTTTATACTGATGTTGCAAAACTAAACGAAGCAGAAAATCTTCCGATGCCTAATTGCCAGAAGTTGAGAGATTTGAATTTAATTTGATTCAGTTAATAGATAAACATACTATATAGGGACCAGTGCAGAATCAAGAGTACCAAATAAACACTTTCAATTCTATGATAACAGATGCGGTTTGAATGTTGTTCTATAAGAACCCCACAGTTCGCCAGATTGCTCATCGCATCTTAAGTCCATTTTATCTTCAGTGGCACAGTAGTATATAGGATTAGTATCAGTCAAGAGTTTAAAATGTCCCATGTTTTCCCATTCTTCCTTTATAATAACTTTTTTGAGCTTATCGATGAAGAAGACTCTTTTCTTTGGTTCACAATCGAGTGTTCCTGGTCTGTAAAATAATCTAACATCTTTTCCTTTCTCTGTATTGCATGCATATGTCCCTGAAAATGAAACGGACTTTGAAGCCTGAATCCCTAACGAGTACGAAAGAACAGACGTGAGGGTATCATTTACGGTGCTGTAAGTGTAATCTACTTCCCCTGATCCAGCATCAGTTAATCCGAGACCAACCAGGTAAGAAATACTAACAGACCCTGAACCCGTATTGCTTGAAAATCCCAAACAGGAGCTAGCGGGAATTAAGTCATTCTCAAAGTGGACAACCACCTTTTCCGAAACATCGTATTCACTATATGTTATATTATTACTTTGCGAATATTTCGTCCTTAAATTCGCTTCATTTTCTTTGAAGAGATCAGGGTCATCTGGCACCAACACAGTTCTGGTATCTTTAAACAATATCATACTCCTAGGATTCTTCTTTATTACGTATTCAAGTTGCTCAAAAGTTAAAGAGTCTCTTCTTGGAACCTCAAATTTGGCAAACGAGAACTGAGGTTGATCTAAATTTACCACCTTCTCTGATGCTGCAAGGCTGGTAATTTCTGAAATCAGTTTAATGGAATAATCATTTGATTGCAGTTCTAAGATTATGTTATCAAGTGGTAAGATTTCTGAGGTCGGTCTCACATCATTATTGACCATATTCGTTAACTCTGTCGTTACAGGTGATCCTTGTGCTAAATTTTGTGTGATTATTGCAATCACTATTACAACATTTTGCAACTTCATGTGGCTAAAACAGAAAATAGCTGAATTATTGAAAGAGGGAAGTACAAGACGGAAAGGAAGAGCAACTTATACTGCTATTTTATCTCCTTTCTTCTATGCTATATAAAGATAAAGAACTGCAAAGCATGATCTATCTTATAGTGAATTTACTTGTAGCAGGACAAAGAACCAACTTGGGCATTACATACTTCGCATTTTCACATAGTTCAGATTAGCGGAAAAAAAAATTTTTAATTAGTAAGCCCGACGCGGGGGTCGAACCCGCAACCTTGTGATTAAAAGTCACACGCTCTAGCCATTGAGCTAGCCAGGCTCCTTTTCTTTCGTG